AACCTATTGCTAAATAGCCGTAACCTCAAATTGTGGTGTCTGTCTGAGATTTAACTAAGTAGCTTGAAATTAAAATAACAAGCACCGGGTAACAAAAAAATAATTTTTGTCGTTCGATCGACTTATTTTTCTGCTTAAAATGTATGAAAATTTATCGATGGCAAAAATAATGACTAAAACATTCTCATGTGTGTGCACAAGTGTATGTTTTTCGAAAATATTTTCGATTTCCTATAACCTTAGCATTTTTTATATAAAAAGTTTCATCACACAAAATCGCACAAGGAAAACCCCGAAATTTCCACAACCCTCCCTCCTCCTGGGAAAAAGGCTAAAAGTTTTAAAAAATTTGGTTGGCGCAATTTTAAGATTTAACAACTACCGAGTCAAACTAATTCCAAATTTGTGTGGAATTTAACCGTTTCCAATAGAAAAGCTAGAATTTTTTTCTTTATTTCACTTTTCGAAGCAAAGTTTAAGGATTTAGGTCTGGGAAATTAGACCTAAGGTATAATATCTAGAACGGAACTATAACATACACAATTTTCTCAAAAAAATCTGTGATCAAACTTATTTTTTATTAAGTAAACCCCCCCCCCCCAAAAAAAAAATGGAATAATTACACTTGAACCGTAGTCAATTTCTAGGCAACGAAAATATTGTTAACAACGATATATGGGTTATTATAGCAATACATTTATATAGAGAGACGACAGTGAAGTATATAGAGGGGGGGGGCGATCGCTCTGGGTGGTAGTGATGGTAACCTGTTATCAATTTTGATAACAGTTAAAAAATGTTATTGTTACTACCAAAATAACAGTTACTGTTATTTTCATAGGTAATAAAAAAATCGATAGGGCATAACGTCTTATCAGCGGTCATCAAGTGTTACGCGATTGAGGCCGTTTGTCATTTATAATAAAAACAAAATTTGGATTTTATTCGCCTTTTTACAGCGTATAACACAAGACAGTACCATATTTATTAAAAGGTTTTGTTTGTCAATTATAAAGAATAGTTGCAACGAATTCAATTTTTTTTAATTTATAATCTAAATAAGATAATATTATAATAAGACAGCATGTACATTTCCAGAAAGTTTTTTTCTATTTATGATAGAAAAGGGACGTTAACTTTATACTGTATATTTAAGAAACATCAACACTTATTAAATGATTTCTTATCAATTGAATACGAAGTACGAATATTACTCTATTTTACATGGTTAGGATTTGCATGGGGTAGGCCATGCGAATACCGGTTTCCGTATATTTACTATGCGTATATCTACTATGAAACCGTAATGTTTACGCTAAAGATCTGAAGAACTACCTTCTATTTTTTTTTAATATAATTATCAATATTATTCTGTGATAATACTTTACAAGCCTTTTAGATCAAATGGAAATGTCATAATTGGTATACGGAATTATTTTGTATATTCCGTATGGAACTATTACGGATTGGTCAAGTATCTTTTCCATATGTTTAAATTTGCTATAGAAATGTTTTGTGCCGGAAAGTCATGTTGTAAAATTGTTAATTACAAAATATTTTTCACATATTGGAAATGTTAAAAATTTTTTTAAAAATTTTGTAATTAACGGCGATTAATTACGCAATTACCGCGATTTATGGCGATTTCAAAGGCTGTAATTAAAACTAAGAAACCAAATAATAAAAATTTTGGTTTTTTTTAATTTTAAGGCTTCAACAAGTGTGTTTAACAACTGACAAGTATTATTCATGAATAAATTGTATAAAACAAAGTAATAGCTAAAATATCAGCATATTTTCTGTAATTATTTTGGTAAAAAAAAAAAAAGAATACATCAACCCTTTGAATTCCGAATTATGATCCACACAAAAAAAAGGTGTTTAAAAAATGGTAAGTATGACTTTTTCCAAGTTTGATACATATATTTCTTTTACATATGACGTTTAAATCGAAAGAATTGTAATCCACACAAAAAAAAATGTTGTAATATCATTGGTAAGTATACTTGGATGTCGAAGAACATAACATATGGCATTATAATACAATTTGAGAGATTTACTAGCGATTTATTGGCGATTGATTGGCTATTTATGCGGCGATTTACTGGCTAAAATCATTTTTTCTAGTAATAAGTTTCAGCGGAAAAACATCAGTATGTTATTTTGTAAACTAGAGAACAATCATTTTTTTTTTTATTATTAGTATCATTTTTTTAAATGGAGTGGGCTGTTTATTTAAAAATGATAGACTGTTTTATAGAATATACTTACGGTGCATACTACTTGCGACCGAGATTATTATCAGTAGGTGAGTTTTTTTGGAACGCAAGCAGTATGCAGCCATATTATATTATTGTACGATTTTGCCTTTGAACATGTTCAAAATATGTACGTGTCCTGTTAAATACTTTGACTGATTTAAAAATATTTGAATATATCCGTGGGCGTATGGCGCGTGTAGACCTTTGTTTTGCAAAAGTCAAAAAGAAAAATATTATGACGGTGAAGTTTTATTTAATTGTGCGTTGAAAAGTAGATATTATGAAAACCGTTTAGTCTGAATTAACCTAAACAGCGAAAAACAGTAATTGGCAGTTAGCAGTTGGCAACGGTAAAAACGTGGACTATTGTAATTATAAAATGCACACAACATATGTGACAACAGCGTTTATATTAGAATAGATTCGTTTAATAAATAAATAATAATAAATCGCCAATTATTTATGGCGATTTATTGGCGGTGTATTTTACTATAAGACTATCATATAAATGATTGATTCAAAATGGGTTTATGGTTGAAATATTTTATCATCCAGATATGATCAGAAAAACCGCGAAAATAAATATGTTTTTTCTATTCCATTTGATACAAATCTAAGAATTTTTCTGGAAAGTTCTTTCACTATACAATTCATATACGCGTTTTTGAAATTGCCATAACTGGTATCCAAAATTAATCTGTCAAGTTTTGAACAATTGAAATCTCCCCGTGGGTTGTGGTTTTAGTTTAAAGAATTATAATGAATCGCAGAAAGCGAAAGGAACAGTATCGATCAGGGCTGGACACATATTTAAGGGGAAAAAAATTATGTTATCTGCTTATTAGCACTTTATTTTAATTTTTGGTTAATAATTTCATTCCTTGAGTATGTAAAATAAAAAGGCATAGCCAACATTTCAAAACTGCGCGGCTAGTGATAGGTAAATATCCAATGGGGAAGACATTTATTTTAGTAATTTTCCCAATGTTGGTTATTCTTTAACAATATCAACAATTTGTATGTTAATTTACATAATTTATTAATTTTCAACATCTGATCTATCGTGTCCCGAATGAAATAAACCGTTTTATTTTGTTGATTTCTGTTTTAATATTAAAATATTTATCAGATATGAAATTAAATAGGGTTTGTTTTTCTAAATCACTATAATTTTGTATTACACAGTTTTTAAACAATATTATTAATAAATATTGCGAAGGAAAATAAATCCATCTTAGAAAATATCTAACGTAGTGTAAACGGTTAAACGATTGGAGAAAAATGAACGGTTTTAAAATTTTACTTAATAAATGCATAGTTTTTCAATGTAAACCATAAATCATCGTTCAAACCAAAAATCCTTGGTAAAAAAAAAAAAATGATTAGCTAAAATCTAAACAATAATTTAATGAGATAACATGTGTAGATATAATTGTCCAGTATGGGAAATAAAATAATTTAAATTATTGCGTCTTGAGATTTTATACTTGATGTTAAATATGCTCAAGTTGTACTGTGTAAAATCGCATCAATCATTTTACAACTAGAAAACTAAAATTAAAAATCAACTGTGTGGGGGGACGATTGTTAGCACAGCCACTAAAAGTGCAATGAGTACAGTTAGATGAACAATAATAATCCACTAATAACAAAGTAGTATATCAAACCAAAAACAAGGCAAACTTAATAAAAAGTTTTGCATGAGAGCAGTGATGCAATAAAATTCTCCAAAGAAATAGTTTTCCCCGAATATCCTGTCTCGTTTTGCCCTACTTTTTAATTTAATTCCTTGTAACCGAAACCGGAGGCTACAAAAACCGTTAGTCTGAACAAGTTTCAGTTTAAACAATGTATTATACACACACCAAACTTAATATTTTCCAACTACTTTTGTACATTTTTAATTCATAAACATACGCCTTAGAGCCGGTTCATAAATATTTCAAAAGCATTACTTGAAACCCGTTGCCAAAAGAATTTATCTTGCTTGCTCGCTCTGTCAGTCTGTTTCAAATGATTCATCAATTCTCTATAATATCTTTTGAACTACTCAAGTACTCGTCACTTTCAATTTTTAATGCATTTAGATGACCTATTTAAAATAAAGTAAAACATTTTTTTTTATAAAACAAATTTGAAAATTGTATCGTTAGGATTTTTATCCTTTACCGTGTTGACTGAATTGATATCGTACTACGGTCGCATCGTACAATATCAATTGATATTCTACTTTTTTTTAAATATAATATTAGTATTCCACTGAGAACATTATAACATACTTCTAAAATTATAAGTGAATATTATGTGCCAGGTTCAATTTTATTATCATTAACAATTCCTATTTATTCAATGATAGCAATGCAATACACGTACATGGCATACGAATATATAATGTTCAAAACGATATTCAATTACTTCCGAGTCATGCATCTCTAGGTAGTTGTAATTCAGTTTTTCTCTTCTTTAAAAAGTACATGAAATCATAAAATCGTTTATCGGTAGGTACCTATTCGATTATAATGATAAAACGATAAGTTAAGTTATTGCAAAATACAAAATCGATCATCGTAAGTCATAACGATTTAATAATTTAGTTTCAAGCAGTATTATACAATATTATGTTATTCGTGTTATTTCTTTTTATACTTTGTTTTATTCATTTACTTATATTATTATTATCGTGTTGTTATCAGTAGCATTGGTTTTCATATTTAAAAGAAAGAAAAAAACTACACGAAATGATTTCAAATATTTCGTATACTCTGATTAAAATGTTTTCGTAGTTGTCACAACTTAAAAAATCACTTTTGTGTTTTATTGGTTTTACACTGTTCATCAATTGAAAAACCTTTTTCGACCATCCATTCATTTTGTACGAATTTGCTCATGTAATTTCGTATACCGTCGGGGAGTACGACAACCAGCCGTTGCCCTTTTTTCATTTTACGAGCAACTTTTAATGCAACACACATTGCAGAACCACTGCTACCGCCTAGAAAAAAAAAATGTATTGTGTCATTTTGATGTATATAAAATATTTATAATTTATTAGATTTTACATGGATAACTTTTAATAGGATGATATTATAATAATAACAAGGTATGCACTATTACAATAATTGTTCTTCATTCATATTACCATTGAGTATATTACATAGGGTGCCCCAAAAATAGCGCAACTTTTAACATGGTTGCGCTATTTTTGGGATACCCTTTACTAAATGATATTAGTCACAAAAGTATGCAAGAGTAAATTTCTTTTAACAAATATACTCACGTTAACAGTGAAAATTTGTATACATATTTTTTTTAAAGAAATAGTAATCTAAAATTCAAATTTAAGGTATTTTTGTATCAAATTCATTATTAAATAGTATGGAAATAATATTACCGCAAAGTAAACCCTCTTCTCGAGCCAACCTTCTTGCCATAGGGAACGATTCACTATCTTCGGTTTTTACCCATTCGTCGACAACCGATCTATCTAAAAAAAGTAAAACAATCGTTTGTTGTTTAAAATTAATAATAATCAACAAGTTTGTTAGTGCTTAATGCTCAACTAAGTGCTTAATTTTGGTTCCTCCAGCAATTGATAAAATGGCTTAAACAAAGTGCCATTAAATAATTCAATAAATATTTAATAAACTTCATCACATTGCAACCCAGCATTTTACCACTTTATGTACTAAGGATGTCAAAATTTATAAGTACCCTTGCACCATTTTATAGTTGAAATTAGTCAATGACCTTTCTGTTTATTCTATCAGTCTATGCACAATACACATACCTAAGACGGTGGGTACAAAATCGTACCCAATACCTTCTACTTGGTAAAATTGTATATCCGACTCATTTAATTTCTCTGGCAATGCAAGTATGCTTCCGTAAGGATCAGCTGCTATTATACGGCATTTATCTCCCAACGCTTGTTTGAAATAGCGACCGATACCCGTCATCGTACCGCCTGTTCCAGTACCAATTACAATTGCATCCACATTGTGCTCTGTTTGCTCAAATATTTCTTTTGCTGTTGTGTCATAATGAGCCAATGGGTTATACTTATTGCGGTACTATAAAAAAAAAAAAAGTTTAGCATTAATAAAATGAAAAAAAAAACTCATAATTTACATATTATACATTATGTACAAATATTTGGAAATAGAAACTCATAGTTTTACTATTAGAAAGCTTACAAAACTTAGTTAATTAAACACATATAATAATCTAGCATTGTGCAGTATTATTTTCAAATTTTCTTTTGTAATATTTTTAAAAAATGCACTATGCTATCAATATACTAGAAAATACTTTTTAAAAAAAATCATCTTAGAAAAAGTATTTAAAAAAAAGTAATTGAAATAATAATAGATACACTAAATATTTTTCATAATAATTTAGATGTATAATTTTTTGTACATGTGTTACAGTTTCACCATTATTCTAATAATATTATATTTACATAAATCATACAATTACATTACACCATACAAAATATAACAAAAATGTAACGATTTCATTACTGTCAAACGCTTGTTATATCATTATAAGCTACCCATAGAAGTTCGCTGACATTTTACCTATTATTTATTGAACAACAATTCTTCTCAAATTAAAAAAATTTCAACCATTTTAGAAATTGTTCAATAATACAATTAACAGGCTATAAAATATATTTGACTGGAAACGTTTTCATCATATAAAACATTAAAAACAAAATATTATTATCAAAGCTTTGGTTAAACGTTCTTTTCTTTAGTATTATTTGTTCCTTAATAAGTTTATTAGTATTGATTGTTTCGTTTACAATTTTGTGTTGATTATTTTTACTAATTTTAGATTTCAATATTAGAAAACCTAGTAAACATCTGGGCACTTGAATGTTGCAGTAATATTCTCCGATACTCTATGATTGGGTTAAACCATAGACTTCTTGCAATTGGCTGTATTCACGTTTAAGAATAAAAATTAAGTACTTTGAACCAGATTCGGAATATAGAAATAAATCATTTATCATCATTCATCATACTTGTAATGATAAAATTTCTGAATGCGAATAAAGGTATGATTACGATAAACACAGTTGCCAAACACAATCATAATTATTTACAATGTAACCAAAATTATCTTTCTATACATTTTATAAATAAACCCAATACATGTATTTTGGTTCAATGATTATTAAAAGGCGTGACCCTATATCAAATTAGCTAAGAGTTCATATTATAACACAGTGTTTTTCTGATACCCAATTTGCGTTTTACCTGATCAAGTATTATGGAATTTTCAGGATCTTCCAAATGCAATTTATGAGCTACTCTAATTAAACCTTCTGGTTCATCGAATGCAGCTTCAGTAGGTGTTCGTACAATTTTCGCTCCCAATAGCTTTAGAGCGTCCACTTTTTCACTTGACATTTTCATGGGCATAACTACAATGCAATTATACCCTTTAACTGCAGCAGCCATTGCCAAGCCAATTCCTAAAACAAGGAAAATTATATCATTTACATTTTGAAATGTAATTAAATACAGTCGAGTCTCGATAACTCCGAATTACTTTCGGTCCCATGAAAAATCTTTTACACTCTATACAATATTTATCGTCAGAAGCAGAAGTTAAAAATAATTTACATAGAAAAAGTCTGATGTTAATGGTGGTAGATATATCTCAAATTTTATCATTAAAACCGAATTAATAAGGCATGTGTATATGAAGAAAAGTACTGATACTATTAGTACAACAATTGCATTGTAAAATAAACAACATTATAAAATTCTTGCGAGTTATTTGTCAATATCTCTAAAACTTACATTTTTTACATTAATAATTGGTGAAAAATTAAACATCATTTACAAGTTACAATTGAAATTGCCAAACAATTTAATATTCTGCCGATTACACTTAATACAAGCTGAATCTAACCAGGATAAATTTAAGACTCCTATTACAAACGACACAAACATTGAACTCTAATTAAATAATATTTGTTAAATGGTTTATGGTTTTTAATGTAAATAAAATATCAACATGTGTGTAGCAGTAGTTTAAGGCAAAAAAAAAACTTAATACCAGAGGTATCAGGTTTAATCACTTAAAAATTTGAGACAGACAAATACTTTTTTTGAATAATAATATTATTTACATTTACTGTAAAATCTAATGGGTTACACAAATTTTTATTTTTAATAATTAAAGTAACTCAATGTACCAGTATTTCCAGAAGACGGCTCAATAATACTCATTCCCGGTTTGAGTAATCCTTGTTGTTCAGCGTCTTCGACCATTTTCCATCCAATCCGATCTTTAGTACTTCCTCCAGGATTTAAAAACTCGCATTTGGCCACTGAATAAGAAATAAATAATAACAAAATCAAATAATTTTAGCTTTGTAATCAGTATAATAAACAGAACTTTAAATCTCACAAATTTCGCATTCTATGCCTTCAGATTGAGGTATACGATTTAGTCTTACTAGAGGTGTATTCCCAATGGCGTGTAAAATGTTTGGCGTTATTCCAACATTATTTCTAAACAGAAAAAAAACCGATATAAATATAATTAAGTAGGTAGTTAATATTTTAGTTACAGAGGTATTTGTTTTTAGTAAAAGTATTATCACACTGTGATAGTTGTAAAAAGCGAGGACGTTAAAAGTAGGTCAGGCCGTGTGGGGTTTGAGAAGCAGTCGCTTGTCGTCCACGTCAAAGATTATGAACCAGTAATATTTATTGTTTGTTGTAATGAATTCTTAGTACAATCTTAGTATGTTGTTACTGTATTGTCATTTTTATTTCTGTCACGTTACCATATAAAAAATACCTAAGCAAGTTCACTTGAGCAAAGATAACAGCTATTCTATGTTTTTTTATTAATTTTTTTATACACTAATTAGTATGTCGCTCTTGCTGTGTTGCTGTCGAGCAATTTTTTTAAATACAGGTCAAATGTACAAAATACTTTTCTTAAGTAGTTGCTAATCATGTATTATTTTGTAATTATATGAACTTCCACTTCAAATCATGGTAATAAGAATACTATTTAATTGATTTTCAAATCTAGTAAATGTTTCTGATAGTAAATTGCCTTTATCTACATTTTTTGTGCATGTGTGTCGGCGTTTTTTTTAAAACCCTTAATTATAAATTTCTTTATATCGGTTTTGACCATGACAAATGATCATTGCACAAAAAAAAAAATTGAGTATGTAAAGAGTATGTGTACAAAGCAGCGAATCTACAATCGTAAAAGAACATAACGGTTCTTAAATACATGCACGGACATATCTCTTGTAGTTTTATTTATTATTTAATAGCATATTAATCGTGTTATTTTCGTTAAATTTAATTTCCTTATTGAACACCTCGCCAACATACTTGATGCCCATATGAACGTGGGGCGACTGATCCTGAGTCGATTCTTTTGACCACGTACAGCGACTCGGCAGGTCAGGTCTACATTTTTCGAAATAACCGTCCAGATCGTAGTCGACGGTTCCGTTTTTAGTGCCGTTCTTCTGACATTCTTCCCACTTGGCTTTTTTCGCCGCCACGACCAGAGGATCAGCCATTATTCAGGATAGAAGCTATATTGAACAATTAAAAAAACAAAAAAAATAACAAATAACAAATCTATCAAATCTGTCAGTCTGTTCGCAAATCGAGTGCAATTAGCGTTGCCAAATTACATACCGTGATACAGGACAAATTGCTCACACGCTGTAAATGTGTTCAAACAATAACTAACAACACAAAATTGCAATTAAAACATTAAACGAAAACGATTGGGATTTTGAGATTGTATGGCAAAGTGCAGACGCGTGTCACCGACCGGCGCCAATGCGGCAATAATCACAGCGTTTACCACCACCACTTAAGATAACAAAGAATATTTGTCTGATAAGATCCAAGGCTGATAACCTGTCTCGTCTCGTGTGGCCTCCAAAGATCAAATACCTACCTACTCGTCTGAAGAGTGAAGTTCATGGATTAAATAAACAAGTCGTCACGCCATTCAAAAAAAAACTATAATCATATTTTACACAGCAAAAAAAAAAAAAATGCGACTATTATACTTTGTAAGTATAATAATTTTAAATGATTATAGCGAAGACCGAACGAAGGCACGTTGCCAAAACGATCATGAGTTTTTTTTTTCTAATGTTAGATAATATCATAAGAGTAGGTATCAATTACATTACCTATCATCACGCCACTATATATGTTTTATTCGAACAAACTGAGTAGGTAGTTTGCAAATTCAAAACTATATACACGCATAAAATACAGTGATATAATGCCAGTTGCTCGACACGAGCAATTTAAGCCATAGGATGAATAAATTATTACCAAGGAATGTTTTTGAATTGTTTAATTATGATAGACCGTTGGTTATTTTGTGTTTGGTGGAATTTTGAGTTCTACATAAGAAAACCAGGTTGCAAAATTTTTAGAAAAAAACCCCTGAATAAATTGTTGGTTTTAATTATCGCGCATGTTTTAAGGTTTGAAAAAATATCTGAAATTATGCGAATCCCTTTCAAATAAGTAGATATATTTTGTAGGCACATTTTTGTTTGAGCACTGAAGTTGGAAAAAAATGTTTTGCATGTAGTTTAACCGTACAAATTCTAATCTTTAAAAAAACGTGATACCTAGCTAAAGTAATACGTTTCAAGTATTATAATATTATTTTAAAAAATAAATAAATAAAAAACACTTTTAAATAAACGCTTCGATGCGAATCTGTGGATAGTATGTTCAAACCATAGCAACCTAGAAACTGACTACGGCCAAAGTGTAAATTTACCCTATTTTTGGTGTTTTTCCTCAATAAAAAAAAAAATGACTACAGATTTTTGTGAACATTTTATATGTTATAGATCCATTTTAGATCTACCTTCGGTCTAATTTTCAGATCTAAATCTCTAAAACTTTACTTGAAAAAGGGAAATAAAGAAAAAAATTCTATCCCTTCTAGGGGAAAGGGTTTATGATATTTTTTTGGCTTGTTAATGTTTATCGATAGTACTATGTTTGAAGAAAAATTCATGTAAATTTGGAACATTTTCGACTATTTTTTTAAAAAGTTATAGAGCATCGTAATTTTAAGTTGAAAAATGTGTACATTTTTTTGGGTGTTTTTCTCGATTTTGACGGGGAAGGGTGACTTTTTTTAATTTTTGGCCCTTCAAAGTACCTTACAGGTATGATTTCTGATCTATAGAGTTAAGAAATCGGCAGCGGTACGAGATACGTGGGTAAAATAATAAAAACACATAATTGTAAAAACAATACCTTCTCAGCTCCGCACCGAAGCTAATAGATACCTATAAACTAGTTAGGTGTGAAAACGAAATAAAATGTTTTTGTTATGGGTAATAATATACAGGGTGTATCAACTATAAGTCATATCGCTATAAGATAGCGTTCATGTTTATTTTTGTGTCAATGCTACATTAAAATTGTAGACAAAAAATAAATACATTTTGTAGAATTTTGCGTTTTTTTTTTTCAAATATACTCGGCATTATCGCGTTTACACATAAAATTTAAATCCATTTTTATCTATCTTTTTTTATGTTCTATAAAACAATTTTAATTAATTCTTATTTTCTAGACAAAATCAGAAAACAATATGTTTTACTATTAATTATTAAATATATTATACTTATGTGTATTATATTTTAAAATATAATACACATTGGTACCTATATGTAAATTTTGTCTCACGCGCAAAACATGTTTCTGGTTTCATATTGAAGTGTGCATATGGGAAAAAAATTGACAGGACTATCAAAACACAATGTAATTATTCTCTATTTTTGTTTAGAAATGCGTAATCTTACTAATCAAACATTAATAAATAGAAGTAGGTGCATTTTCAAAAGACAAACTACAAAGGTTAGGAATCCAGTCACAACATGATAATAACATCTCACAAACTATGATAACACCGATTATGTAAAAAAAAAAAAATGCGTGTCATCGTTTTGCGATAAATAAAGTTACTACCTATAAAAGTATTAAATATTAATAATATCATTAATGGTTACAGAATGACATTTGAGTAATACAATTTTTTTTTATTATTATCTAGTCTAAAGTGGTTGACAAATTATCAACAGAGCACAAGGTACATTTACAGTTACAGTTTACTGCTTACTATAATAATTAATATACAATAACTCAAAAGAACTCAGAGATAACATTCTTGAGGGATTTGAAAGCGGACAGTTTTTTAAGGGGTTTTATATAGGCAATATTAAAAAAAAAAAGAACGGTTTTAGAGTTGGTAAAAAAACAGACACCAATTTAGACCTAAAAGCTTGAGAAAAATTATGCCTGCTAAGAATTACCTATAAGATTTTAGTTCTGTAAAAATATTTAAGCTCATCGACCTTTTCCCCAAATAATTGTAGGAGTCGATTTTTGAACAACTGTTTCGTTTACTTAAGAAAAAAAACCAAAAACGGGTTCCCTAAAAAATTGATAAATTCAAATAGGACTTAAACACCATTCTAATTGAAATATCAAAAAATTATTTTCACTATAATCTAGAAAAGTAAACGATAAATTAAATATTTTTACAGAACTGAAATTGGAAAACCCTAAGTAGGTGTAATTTTTCAGGCTTTTAGGTCTAAAATAAACCATAATGGCTTTTACTCAAAATAATAATACCTTAAAGCTTGTAAAAATTAACCGATAAACTAACAGACATGGTCGAAATGTATTAAAACCTCTTTTTTCTTAAATATTGCCTATACATAACTCCTTAAAAAACAATCCGCATGCAATTCCTTTAAGTGCAAATTCAGCTCAACTAATAGTACCTACCTATTTTAAAGCTGTGTCAGCTGCAAGTGTATAAATAATTATTAAAACTTAATTATTTATTAGAATAAGTTGAAAAGTGCATAAAAAAATTAGAGTCTTGTACAAAAAACTAGTTTTTTTTCAAATCCTGGTTTGTTATATCTAGTCTTACAGTGTGTGGGTTTTTGTTGTTTTAAATTGGTACTTAACTATGTTGATACTTAATAAATTCTCAGCAACCCTTGATACAACATTGCACAAAAAAAAAGTACTCAATACAAATTGAAAACACAATATTATCACGTTTTTAAATGTTTATTAGCATATGATACAATTATACTGATCCAGTACAAATAAATAAGTGTACATACAATATCATGCTTTTAAGTTATATTTTATAAAGATGAAGATTATATTTTATAAAGATAAAATGGCAAACTTATGTATTATGATAATAATACATGTTATAACTATAATTACGAGAAACGTTAAAATGACATGTCAATTAAAAATTACACTTTCTTTGGGAATCATCTTTAATTGTTTATATTTATATATGACTAAATAAGGCTGAAATGTACAGCTCAGCTAATAATACCTATTTCTAAGCTGTGTCAGCTGCTAGTGTATTTAATCTAAACATATAGTAATAATCAAATAATTGTTACAACTTAATTATTAATAAGAATAAGTTCAAAAGTTAATATCAAAAACCAAAGCGACTAAAATTATTTATAATATTTCAAAACGGATCGACGAAAAAAGTCTTGTACAAAAAAAGGAATTTTGTTCAAATCCTGTTTTTTTGTACCCATTTCTACAGTGTAAAGTTTTTGTTGTTTTAAATTGGTACTTAACTATGTTGATATTTAATAAATACTCATCAACCTTAGATACAATATTGCACTTCTAAAAAAAAAAAAAAAACACTCTACATAAACAAAATATTATCACGTTTTCACATTTGTATTGGCACATGATATAATAAAACTTATCCACTACAAATAAATAGGTAGGCAGGTACATAATATGAGATATTTTTTTTAAACTTATTTTTTTAAATTGGTACTAAATAAGAACTGATTAAAAAAACTTGTATCGTTCCATCTTGTCATGGCGGGAAGAATAGCTCATACTGTTCTTCGTCTTCGTCTTCAGTATCTGTTATTGCTAAATTAAAGATTTCGAGTGGTTGGAAAAAAGCTAAATCTTTTCTGAAATGTTGTACGTACAGTATTATAATTTAAGTTATTTTAATAAAGGGTATATATATATGAGATTTAGGGCAAAGTAGAACATATATAATATTGTTTCATAATAGGAAAGATGTGCAACTGCAAGTGTGTTTAATCTAAATATAATCAATTAATGCAACTTAATTATTTTAAACTAATTTTACAGGATTGTCTATATTTTTGTACACTCTGTTTTCTCAGTAATTTTTTATTAATAATCTACTTTGCCCGTAACTCATAGTATTATATTTTATTTATACTGTAATGTCGCAGGGATGACAAGGTCGTCCGGAGCAATAATATCGCCTTCGTCCACGTACTCGCATACTTTAACCAGACACATATCTTTCAGACTGGGATCTGAAAAATATAAAAAAACGTTCATGAAAATTCTTGTAAACATTGTGAATAATCGCCGTAGTACTTAGGTCCAACACGTGAAGATCGTCGTGATGTTTCAGCCGGTTTCTGCTGGTAAAGCGAAATCGACTTCGTCTCATTGATATTATATGGTTGTCTGAAATCGGGCTGAGTCCACCATATACGAACACCTTGTCGTTGACTAGCAAACAAATGTGTCGTCTCCGGGCACAAGGAGCAGTGCCCACTGGCGATACCTTGGACCACGTTGAGCTGACCACGTTGTAACGGTAAATGTCTTCGAAATGGGTGTTTTCGTTTTTTTCGAATCCGCCGTACAGATACAGAAATTGATTGTGAACGACTGAAATTCAAAAAAAAAAAATCCATTGATCGATTAGTCGCAAAACACACACACACACAAAGAGAGAGAGAGATCAACTTGTATACACATACACGTAGAATGATTTCGTCGTCCAGGTGGTTTATATCCATCTTGTACGGTAGGGCGCACCCATATGTTTAATTTTGTATCATAATAATGCACGTCTGAACAATAGATTTCATGGTCTATTTCGTTTTCTACAATGTGACCACCGCGACCTCCGAATATGTACATTCTGTCACCGACAGCACTCGCAGTATGGAAATCTCTAAACGACGGTGGATCGTTCTGGACAACAGGGCCGAATACAGTAGTGCATTAGGTGGTAGGTACATGCTAAGAATAATTGATATTGTCTGGAAATTACCTCCGTCCTAATTCTATGCCATCTCATTCTGCCGAAATCAAACATGCTCAGCTCTTGAGAAAATTGACCATCGTGACATCCTCCATAAATGTACATCCGTCGGCCTATCATACAAGCAGAATGGCCGCTTCTGGGTGCAGGTTTGGTTCCACGAACATCTGGTATAGACCATTTCAAAGTTTCTGCAAAGTACAATCGACTAATTTTATAGCGATAAATACATTTACACCTGTCTTTTACGTTTATCCTAATCCATAGTTGGTAACATAATTTGTGCTTGACCAAAATGTTGCTTATTATTATTATTTATACTTTTTAAATAAAATTTCTTTCTAACATTTTTGACAATAATTTTCAGGTGACCCGAATGAACCAAAATTTTGATATAGGTATTTATTAACAACAAAAATATCCTTACCCGTATCAAAACAATACAAAGTGTTGCATACTCGGCTGTCATTACTTCCTCCCCACAAGTATATTTTTTTGTCATAGACCACCGTGGTAAAACCAGACCTCTGGAACGGCGCATTTTCATTGTTTTCGTCTCCTTCTATCTTCCACCATTTCAACTTGACTATATAATATATTAATAATATACATATACGTATCACACACAACGATTGTACACACTACTCACCTGTGTCCAATGCGTATATATCTATTGGTCCATCGTCGTCAGCTCCACTGCAATCGCCACCGAACGTGATTATATTAGTGCCAACAACTACTGCAGCATGATTGACCCGTCGTGGACCACCGTGCAAATGAACAGTCCAATACATCTTAGAGTGGAACAAGTGGCGGAAACTGGCAAGTGAACGGCTCACGAATAACGAATTTCACTATATCATGTGCATTAAGATTGAAAATACATTCAACAGCTCGGCGACACAACAGCTACTGTAATGCCCGAAGGATTGCAAAATGCGCACGATAGCACAATTATGTCCTTGGAAAAGTATTGATCGCTGTATACAGGAACAATGGCGAAGGGTGCCATTTGGATTTTGAACCAATGGCAAAACGAGGGGTTGAGCTCCCTAGCAACTCGAAGGGTCGTTGTAGGGTGGAGGGGCGCCCTACTCAATTAGCGTTGGTAACGCGCACTCAGTGTTACCAACGCAATTATTTTTCCACTCGACCCGTATATGCTTGCATCACTGAATGGTAAATGATAAAATGTACCTACACGGTACAACTATGATAAGGGTACATTATCCTTTCCGTGATGATCATTAGCTATTAATAGCGATTAATCGATTTTGTTTGCAGAATATCATCCTTTGATCGGCTTCCCAGTAAACGAATGATCGAATTGCATACGGTAGTGGTTTTTTTTTTTTTGGTTATTACCACCCACAAGACTTGATGAATAATTAGTTAACTTACAATTGCATAATAGACCAAACCCTCGCTTAACAGCAGTATACAGGGTGTTCCACAAAGTTTTTTCATTTGTCGTGTCTTTGTGGGACTCCTTGTGTGCATCTAGTTATTGACTTTTTTTTATGAAGTAATCATTGTTTTACCGTCTATACATTTAAATAGTTTAATTGCAATTAATACATGGACTAATGATTTCTCATATTTAACTTAGTACACTATATTAGCCGACCGCAAAAAATTCTCAATTATCTATGATGTTATTCAATTACAAAATACATGTATGTAATATTGTATTTGTTTTGATAATTAAGGTGAAAATAAAAAAAACTACAGTGAATAATTAATGGTCTAGTTTAGATATTCTCCAAACATTCTGAAAATACATTTTTTTTTAATTTACCACGTTTTTAAAAAGGACTAAAAATTATAAAATAATCTCTCCTAGACTTATATAGATTCCTAACCCCCATACAGATTGTCCTGATAATTTGTGATTATGAATTATATGATAAAATACTTGTAAGATTTATAAGGAAAAACGTGGGGCGCATAACTAATGCATAAATAGTTCACCCAAGTCACTAACGGTTTTATTGCACTGCAAATAATATTATGAACTGTTGTGTGAGTTTTCTCAACGACAGCTACCCTTTACACTCCTTGCTAGTATCTATTTTGCAAGTTTTCAAGTTTTTAGTTTGAAAATCTTACAAATATTTTCATAAAATTCATAATCACAAATTCTCAGGACAATCTGTATGGGGCTAGGAGAAATTATTTAATATTTTTTAGTCCTTTAGTAAAAAACGTGGTAAATAAGAAAATGTTTTTATTTAAATAATTATTTTCTTTAATGAATTCTTATAAATTATTTTTATAGTCATGTGTTGGCAAGCGGTTTAATGGTTTAAGCCAAAATGGCTTTTACTCATAGGAAAATTGATTCAAACAAAAAACAACACCTTGAGCTTAGGCAAATTAACAGGTAAATTAATTGACATGGTGGAAATTTATTAAAACCACATTTTTCTTTAAATATTGCCTATACAAAATTCCTTAAAACAGACCGCATGCAATCCCCTTAAGAGGGCGTCGCACCGGTGATTTTCAGAGGTAAAAACATGTTTAAGCAGACTGAAAATAACTCGCTTAATTTTGGTTTTAGAGTAAAAGCACCCATTAAAAAATTAAAATAAAACAATATTCCGGAGGACAAGACGGTGCGTTTTTTTTTTTAAAATCATTTTTTGAAAAGTTACAGTCATTTAAAAATGTTAAAATAGTCGATAATTTTAATTTATGTATTGAGCGTTATACTTGGAATAATGAAAAAAAAACGCACCGTCTTGTCCTCCGGAATATTGTTTTATTTTAATTTTATAATGGGTACTTTTACTCTAAAACCAAAATTAAGCGAGTTATTTTCAGTCTGCTTAAACATGTAGAGATGAAAAAACATTTTTAAATCACTTTCAAGGATGCTGTGATAGTCCAAATAATAAATTAACTACCGAAATAGAGTTCTAATTATTGAACTAATAATTACACATCACAGTTTAACCTTTAAATAAAGATTTTGTAAAATATTGCCTATACTTTACTCCTTAAAAATGAGCGCTGTGACGCCCCACAGTGGGCAAAATAGCTGATTTAGGCGGACAAAAGTCATTCTCAGAATTGTTCTCCATTTAATGCTAGTTGTTTTTTTTTTGATAGTTGTGAAACCCAGAAACAGCATAGCACCCGTTGAAAAGTTGTTTATAATTATTAATATGTGACGGTTTTAAGACATAGTTGAACAAATTGATGTTATCTCGCATTGTTATCAGCGTCAATTCTGTTGCTTATCAGTTGTAATAATTATTACAACTACAACAGTTTTGAAGTTAAATATAATATAATATAATTTAATATAACTATTTTAAAAATAACTTCAAAATAGTTGTAGTTGTAATAATTATTACAACTGATAAGCAACAGAATTGACGCTGATAACAATGCGAGATAACATCAATTTGTTCAACTATGTCTTAAAACCGTCACATATTAATAATTATAAACAACTTTTCAACGGGAGCTATGCTGTTTCTGGGTTTCCCAACTATCAAAGAAAACAACTAGCATTAAATGGAGAACAATTCTGAGAATGACTTTTGTCCACCTAAATCAGCTATTTTGCCCACTGTGCGCCCTCTTAAACGAATTCTATAATATTCTAATATATAATGTTATAATAAAATTAAAATAAATCACTTTTAATGGATAAAAATAAACTACATATTCCCCCCTACTCTTGTATCCGCCCCCGAGAAAGGCTAAAACATAAAGTGATAAAGGAGATAAGTGAAATAGGGTTTTATCTATTACTGAACTGATTGTATTCAAAACGAAATAAATGCATATATATATATATATTTTTTTTTTTTTTATTTTAGCCACACGAACGACGCGCGGTCACGGATTTACCAAGTCGTTGATGAGGATCACTTCGCCGGTGTCTCCTCTTGCGATGCGCACGACGATCTGAACCGGTCGGGTGGCGTCTTCGTCGGCGTACTCCAGATTGACATTGTAACGCGCGCTGCCGTACGAGTTGACCACCTCGGCGACCATCGCCTCCGTCTGGGCCATGACGCCGCGGTTGATGTTCGGGCTCTGCGGGAAAATGTTGCGCAAATCCGTGCCCGAACCGCCCAGCCGAGAGGCCAACAAGTGACCGGCGTCGTCGTTGCCGTGGCCCATTCGGCGGGCGTACGCTTGTGCGGCTCCGTTGGTGCCCGTCCCGGTGTACAGGTGCCGCGGATAGATGAACGCCTCCATCGACTCGGTCCGGCCGTTTCTGCCGCTCCGTTGGTAGTAGTTGACCGGGCCCGTCAAGCCGATTGTGTCCCGCGCCCGCCACGCCAGGAAGCCGACCGTCAGCACGTCCATGGCGAACTCGCACCGGTTGCCCGCGGCCCGTTTGGACCGCGTTGGGCACTCGCGGTACCTGTCGTGGTCCCAGCAACTGCCCACGGACGTGACCATGTCGTTCATGCCGACGGAGCTCAAATCGTCGTGGCCCACGCTGCCGGGATAGACGGCCACCGAGCGGCCTTCGCACCGGTTGTGTTCGTAGAGCCTGAAACATTTGCCCAGCGTGTCCACCGAGCTGGCCCAGTCGTTGTTGTCCACCGTCACGCAGGGCGACCGGCTCGTCACCGAATGGGCTATGCAGTTTCCCTTGTGGTCCTTGTGTTCGCACAGCACGATGTCGTCGCCGTCGCCGGCGGGACAACAGTACTTGTCGGCGTTTAGCAGGCAGCCCCACCTCATGCCGTACGTCATGAAGTGGTCGTCGCCGCATCTTATCGCGAAACCGCACCACGGAAAGCCTTTCCAGTAACAATCTTTGCAGTCGGCGCGCAACAACACGTGCGCGGCCATTGTGAGAAACGCTATCAATCGCAGGTGTCTCATCTTGTCGCACGTACAATACGGGTAGTTGCTTCGCCGGCAAACGATTCGCAATTGAATGAAGATTTCACATTTGCAAAAAGCCGCCACTAACGCAGTTCGACTTTGTTTTGTATTGTTTACAGCGCAGAACGAAACACCATCGACGGTCAGCGAAACGCAATAAGGTCATCGAATATATTATATTGTTATAGAACCAACGCGTTGCGCCACCAGACTTTGAACTACCTGCTTACCAATTATAATAATATTTATAGGCGATGAAAATGCCTAATATTACAAAATCGTGCATCTGTAGTTTAATGATTTTCATTGAGATCTGTTACACCGCTTGCGTTGAAAATGAAATTATTTCATATGGCCTATTAATGGTGTTGTAAATATTTATTATAAAATATAAGTAAATAGCGTATAATAATCATAATCTATACTAAGTATAAGAGCTATTTTTCACGGACAATTGAAAAAGGCGAACTCGGTTCAAGGCCAATGAAATCACACAATATTAACCAGAACTATTATACAATATCACTTCTACTAATATATTTATTTATATATTCATAGTATTGAAATCGACGTTGAGCAATCAATTACTGATAATATTGTAGAATAAAGTACATTACTCTATATTATTGTGTTAATATTTTTGCTTGTACGTTGAACGTTCTTCAAGTAAATACCTAGTATAATAATTGATTATATTAGTGAAGTTGTATAGAGAATATTGTATTGGTTGCAAAATATCTATAAAACACCACAATTAGCCATAAACACATAATTTCGCTTTGACCATTGTGTACTAGATTTGTCTCAAAACTGGTATAAACTTTATAAACAACGTTAAACCATTTTTTTTTTTTTAATAGAGTGAACGAATGAATGGAACTATTCTTTCAATAATTTAGAAAACGAAACGTCAATAGCGCTGTTATTCTATCACTTTCAGTAGCCATGTAAATAGCAATCTTCACACGTTAAACATTTAGTCGAATTAAACCGGTTAGGTTAATTTACATATTTGATAGGTTCATTACTAAATGGCTAACAGTAAAAATAATGCATAAGCCAGAAGCATAATATATTACAACACATGAGAATATATAACATAATTAAATAAATTGCATAATAATTCACTTAGAATATATTTATAACGAATTTATTACAACATGTATGGGAAATTATACATAAGATCAATTTGACATTAGAAAATAATCGTAGGATATATTATATAAATAGACAATATAACTATTTATAATATCTACCTAAGAAGAAGAAGTGTTCACAATAAATTTTACAATAATAAATCTAGTTCACAAACAATACACTTAAGTACCATTCTAACCGTCGACATTTTTTTTAAGTTAATTATTTTAAGTATAAGTTAATTTAAATGTACGTATATATTAAATATTATATTATATTATATATTTATAAATATATAATATAATTTCTTTTGGCAGATATTTTATGCTATCATCTTAAATAATATGAATTACTTTATAGTTTGTTATATTTAAAATATGGTTATAGTAAATTTTAGTAGTATAAACAAAAATAAAACACTACAAACTATCACACTTAAATAAGAAGACGTTTTTCCTTCATTGCCAAAATTGTGCTTAACATTTTTATTTTATTTTTGAACACATTAGGTAAATATACTGTTATATAATATATATACATATAAATAATAAATGAGTAGTTCTATTTTTCTAATAATGTTTTGGTTTTGATTCGACTAATATTTTATAACTTAAAAAATATGCACTTCCAATGATATTACTAAAAATAAAAATTGTTTCAAAAAAAAAAATGTAATTTAATATAAAATCAAATTTAATTTATGATTTTTTTTTCTTTAGCTTTTTTGTTGATATATTATAGGCTCGTATAATTTATATTTTCTCAATAATATACGTTGTAAAATTTGAATTTTTTTCCAAATTATTATGTAAACACAAATCATTTATATATATATATATATGTATTCACACTTAAAAACACATTTGTATACAATTATTCATCAACTGTGATAATCTCCAATATAATCTTACAAGCTAACATCTAACATGTTAAATCATAATCATCCATCTCAACGGCTGCCAATATCAGTTTGAACATGCGAGTAGGTATTTATTTAACATTTTCCAATTAATATATAGGTATAATATTTATATGTTTCGATTTGTAATGTATATATATATATTTTTTTTTTTCAGTTTATTTAAATGTAATTGAAGTAAAAATGTCAGGTTCTCATTTTCGTTTCTCGTTGCCGTACATGGTCAACAGAGATCCCAAATTATCAATTTTCGGATTGAACAAACGCAGCATTTCCTGCGAGGCCTTTTGCTTGCCCTCTTCCTTTTCCTTGTACTTTACGGAAACAGTGTGTTTGCCCACCGTCATGGTGCACAGTTTGAACGGTTTGCTGACACTGTCCTTTGTGAACTTGACGCTGATTATGCTGTCGCGGTTTTTGTAATTTTTCTTGATAAGTCTCTGCAGCATTTCGTACGGCGAAGGCTGACCACCTTTGGCACAAAGGCTGGCCATTCGAGGATCCACCACCTTTGCATCGTTGATGCTCGCTCCTGGGACAAGATTAACCGAAGACACCTGAGTGAATCTATTCGAGCACGAACTACGATGCCCACTGGCCGAATTCGAAGCACTATGTTCTCCTGCCGGCTCACCGGGCTCTGTTTTGATCCTAAAATACACATTTTAAAATTACCCATTACGGCGGTGTAGACCCACAGGTTAGGTTAGGTTAGGTTAGGTTAGGTTACCTAGGTACCTACGGTTAGGTTCCCGCTTTTTGTCGAAGAAAACAAGAACGTCCACCGTCCAATCAAGGAATGGGGAGCGGCTGAACTTGTTCCCATTTCAGTGCGTTACACTGCACAAGCAGATGTGGTAGTACAAAGATGCCGTAAAAAATAAAGAGGAAGTAAAAAAAAAGCGAGTCTCACTTAATATTGCGGAGGCCAGCCTGGCGTCACAACGCAGCCGTAGGCCCACGCGCACGGGGGTCCGAAGAACTGAGGTCATAAGCGGCGATGTCCCTGAAAAAGGTAAAGAAGAAAGTGAAAAAGAAAACGAAGAGGAGAAACAGCAAAAACGGAGGAGGTCAAAAGTCAACCGAGGAGGGCCAATGCGGACAGTGCGCCGAAACGCCCGCCTAGCAATAGGCGGATGGCGTGCCATCGCGGCAAATTCCAAGTTGTGGTATAATAATATAAAAAAATATAACAGTCTAGTTTTTGAAAACGGACACCACATCTTTTTAATTTATTTCGTTTTAAATTTTATAAATCATAACACATGAAAATTCCATAGATTTTTTTTTTTTGTGTAAACCATTAAAATTTAATATTTACTTTGAAAAAAAATATTTTTACCAACAAATTTCCTATTATTGTGGTTCAAAATTAAACAAAATTATCAAAGCTTGAGGCGATAGCCGAGAATGTATGTGTTTTTTTTGTGTTAAAAGACACTGTAACTTTTGACATAAATATGGTTGTTATTTAAATTGTATATTATTATTTAATTAAGGTTTAAAATATGTTACTAATTATTTACTTATCGATACCATTTATTTTATAACAATTGTTATTGTCAATGTTAAAAACTACTATTACTTTATTATTTCTTATTATTGTTTTGCTTTTAGTTTTTGGCTATTTTTCTGATTTTTTTGTTAAATTAAGATTTTACTGTACTATTACTTAACAAAGGGTGTTAACCCGTTAATAATAATAAAATAAAATAAAATATGTTTTACGGCTGGGGTTGGTGGGCGAAGAGGAAAAAGGCAGATTAATATTATTATATTTACAGTATATTTATATTGGAAATTATGTATTGTTTATTTTTAGTAGCTAGGTGTATTATGTGTAAAGTCAGAGACATAGTATCTGTTTTTCTTGTTTATGTGCATGTGTAAACTTGTTTTCTGGTACAATAATAAACGATGGGGCCTGGGGGGGGGTGGGTTGAATTGACCATCGTCCGCGCCACCCCCCCCCCCAGGAAGGGTGGGTTGGATTCAGATTAGGTTAGGTTAGGTTGTACAACTGATAATTTACTGATAACGTGATTGGTCTCACTCGAGATATTCCCAACTCAAGGCGGTATTGGTGTCATCGTGGTCGAAATATTCCTCGCCCGAAGAAATCGCCTCCAAATCGTCTGCCGGTTTGGTCATCTTAGATCGTTTTTCTTCGATGTATGTCTTCACCAGACGGGCGATTGGATCATTGGCACTCAAGTGTAGATCGTTGTTTTGATCGTCACCAGTCGGTTCCTCGTTATTCGTCAGTCTAGTAACTTCATTACATAATAAATTACACATCGATACAGGTGAACTGTCCGACTTGCGTTTGTCCAGTAAAGAGAAAATACTGCAATAGCGATTGCCCCATGTGTGGCTGGACAGAGGAGCTTCTGTAGGACAAGTATCATCTGAAGACATTGTCGAACGAATGTCAACTGAAAAAAAACAAACAAAACAAAAGCGATAAAAGTTAGAAAGTAAATTATTATTCGCATCTAACATTTACTAGCTTTTAGTTGGTATAAGATAACCGAGCGGGCCAAAAGGTAACAGCGTCCCTTAGGTGTAATAATTTGTTAATTACTGTCAGTGTACCACCTGTATTTTACATACCTATAATCGTACTTGAGTACTGTTCAAGTAAAAATATGTTTACATTTTTTTTGCAAATTTTAACCGGAAAATTTTAATGTGATTTACTAAAAATAACAACAAACGTTTTCATAAGGATATATCTACACCGTTTTATAGCTCATAAAACTGTGTACTTATATTTGATTAATATTAAATTGTAAACAGCCGCTATTGAAGTGTAGTAATTTTTAATCAGAAATAGGTAATATGTGTTCACCCTATAGCGTAGACTTAACGTCAAAATAGTCTTGGAAATTATTCAAACCTAACAGAATGAAAATAAATTAAACGCATATTAATGCACTGACATAAGGATTAGTAAAGAAGACAAGGATAGAAAAGGACAAAAATTGTAAAATGTCCAAAACAATTTATGATATAACACACAAATTATTTTTAAGTTTTTTTTCTTCAGTGTATTTTTGTACTTATTCTATTAGATATACTGCAAAAAAATAACAATTTTTAGCTGAGCAAAGTCACCCTCACTCTTTGAAATCAGGGAATCCAGTTTGTTTCACAGTACCAAAACTTTTAGATCCCTAAGGCTAAGTCAATTTTTGAGGACTTTAAGTCAGGGAATTTTTCAAACTCAATAGGGGCTGGTTGATACCACGGAAGTTATTTATCCGAATTTCGCATAATTTTCAGGGCTTAACTTATAATATTTATTTGGCAACTTGTTGATTTCAAGAAGCTCAATATAATTTCGCGTCGAAGAACGGAGAAAACACTAAACGTGTACATGTTAATTGAATTTGTCAATTTAACGGAGAAAATGTATTTCTTACTCGAATAGGTACTCGCGATCGCCTAAACGTCTATTGGAATGTCCGCAAAAGTCTGTTGGTTTTCTGAACGCAGTATCCGCCGCGGTCGTTGTTGTTGTTTATTACACTTTAAGTATAATATGTAGTCCACAAATAAAATATAACGCGTATACTTTTAATTTTGCGTTTTTCCACAAGTCAGAAGTGTCAACAAAACTCGAACAATACTCGAAAATTTGCAAGGAAACAGCCGGACGACGACGCTTTGACGAGAGTATACGCTTGCCAGCTTTAGCGCTTACACCACTTTCATCGGGTATTGATTTTGAGAATTGCCCTGCACCCCCCCCCCCCGCGCATCCTGTTTGTTGTATTTGCCTTGGCCTACAAGCGCCATCTATTTTTTCGGGGCGTGTTAGCGCCGGCGGCACTGGGGGTGTATTTTCGAATTAAAACCAACGAGATTCCTGATCTAATCTATATGTATGTTCATTTTCAATCCAACAACTGTACGAAATAATATTTTTGAATTTCATCTAACGATTAGAGCGTTCAAAGTGTATTCGAATAAATCATCACGTTAATGTACTGGCGGTTGCGTGTTAACTAAACTAAACAGCGTATTATAACTTTAGTTTGTCGACAATTAATATGCTAAAATTATGTTCAGTTTATTATTTTGTGTAAACGTATAGTAAAATGTCTTTTGATGATAAAAATCGTAGAAACTTTTCTTAATTTGTTTATTATAGTTTATCCTAATGACATGCTAGAAATGTACTGGCATTGACATTTTAAACTCGGTAATCTTTTGTACACTAATCAGGGCTTAAGTCTTGTGGATTTAGGTGGCCTCGACACTAGCATTAATTATTAGGGCGCACTGCTTAGGCAATTTTTCACTGCACCTTAACCTTAAGAAGGCGTCGCACCGGTGATTTTCAAAAAAAACATTTTTAAATCGCTTTCAAGGATGCTGTGATAGTCCAAAAAATAAATTAACTACCAAAATAGAGTCCTAGTTATTGAACTAATAATTACACATAACAGTTTAACCTTAAATTAAGATTTTGTAGAAAGTTGCCTATACTTTGCTCCTTAAAAATGGGCGGTACGACGCCCTCTCAAAGGGGATTGCATTCGGTCTGTTTTTAAGGAGTGTTGTTTAGGCAATATTTAAGAAACAAGAATAGTAAAATCATTCCTCAAGCATGCAATCCCATTAGGGTAAAATTTTGTAAACACACAAATATAAACACAAGAAATATATTTATTTAAACATTTATTTATAACTCAATTTCCATGTGAAAAATTGTAATTTTTTAACGGTTTTAACAACATTAATGAACAACAAAAATTACAAATATACTTTAGAGTTTAGTCGATACATTAAGCAACAATTATATGTATACTGGAAATTCTAGGGATTGACAACGTAACTAAGTCAGAAAGGTTTTGTTATGACAGAACAATGCAAGTATGTTAATATTGATGTTATTAATATTATCACTAACAATGTAAGGTTTTATCTAATCTGTGATATTATGATGGGGTGATTGCTTGTAAATAAAGATATGTTTATATTGTCCCAAAAGGCAATTTTAATCGACTATTGCTGTAATTATAACAATCAATAATGGAAAATTGTGCAATCCCTGTATTGAATACACTTTTTTATCCTGCTTATTATTATGTATGGTCGAAAATCCTGTACACTACATATTGCAAGTTAAGGTTTGCTTGTAAATATTACTATTTGATATTCATTTATTCCTAAAAACCATGTGATGTTATACAAGCTAAAATCTCTACGATAAAAATACTACGGTCCTTAATTATTTACCTACTAATTACTACTTTGGCATTACTTTCAATTTACCAAAGTATTGGAATTGTAATTTTAAAATTATGGCAACAAATTTTTCCTAAATTTATAATTTTAACAACACTATTATTATATCTAAGGTAGTTACAATTTCTACTATTGTACGTTTACAGTAATTGTTTTTTGTATCAATATAATATGACTGTTTATCATCTACTGACAATTATATAAAATTTGTTTTTTTAAATACATTTTGTAATAATAATAAAAATCGTCAATGTTGCGAACATGTTCAATTGATGCAATAGTTTAAAACTTAAGTGAAGTAAAAAAAAAAAACTTATAAAATCTTAAAAAATTAAATTCTGAAATATTCGTTTTATACTGAAACTAATATATAATCATAGTAATACAATAGGGATTAAGCCACATCAAGTCTAATAAAGGACTTTAATTTATTTCGGTAATTTTAATCTAAAAAAATGGGATAAGATATTTGGTTTTAAGGGGATTGAAAGCAGTCTGTTTTTCGGACGTTTAAGACCAAAAAACCTGGCAACATATTGACTAGAGACTACTTTGAATGGTTCAATTTAAATTTTGTAAAGATGTACCAGCTCTTAGGCTACGTTAAAAGGTTATGACGGAAACGGATTTTTTGAATTTTGGGTTTTTTTTTGTAAAAAAGTTGCATTTTTAATATTGAAAACTTTGTAATTAAATTGAATTAATTACAATAAAACTGATTTTTTTTTAATGAAAATCGGTTTCTATCATAACTTAGTAAAAAAGCAAACAAATTATCTTTTTACATAATTGAAATTGGACCAGTCAAAGTCTCACAATTTTGTCTCAGCAAAAGCATCTTTTTACCAACAAAATGGCCACTAAAAGAGTGGCTTTAAAGCCACTTTTTTCTTAAATACTACCTAAATAAAACTCCTAAAAATCCATCGCTTTCAATTCCCTTAAGTAAGAAAAAAAACATTAATTGTTTTATAAAAAGTAGTAACAGTTTAAATTAAAACTAATTATTATAAACTTAAGTACTATTCTTATAACAAATAAATAATATATTATAGTACATTTTAAAATAGATTTTAATTTTGGTATAGATTTTATACAAAGCAAGTAACATATTATTTTCAACAGTGAATCTCATTTAATAGTTGTTGAATATTTACATAGGGTATTTGTAGAAATATTTTTTTAAATAATCATATAATATTATACTGACTAAAACGTATTCAAGACTAAGTACTTATATTAATAATAATCGTTATTTGATTATAAAAGGTATTTATTAGTATACATACAAACTGATATTTTATTTTTACTATGTTTTAAGCATCTCAACTTCTTTTATATAGATTTTAAACTAAAAAAAAAAAAAATTATTTACCTTTTAAAATGTTCAGATCTTATAAAAACGTTCTAAATAGAAACATAAAATATTTGTTTTAAATTTAAAAAATACATTTAGAGAACTTTCCAGATCAAAGTAAGTGAGTTTTCATTTAGATTTAAAAGCAAAAAAAAATCACACAATTAATAAAAACTAGAATCAACATGGATCAATTTAAGATAAAAATATATACATAATCTCAAACGATATAGTTTTTTTTTTTTTATTACAACATTCTAGTCCTGTTATATAATATCAAATGATTCTCGATTAGGGCGTATCTTCTGCAATTTCTGACATAGAGGTTTGTTGCGGTACTTGACTTCTTAGTTCCAATTCTAGTTGACGCAATTTATGAGATGTTTTACCCAAGTTGGCAGCCAATTCTCTGTTTGCATGAGCATAATATTCCAGCAAATCTAATATACATCGACTGTCTCGCTGTTCCATAAAGTCTTGATCGCTATAAAATACAATTTTGTTTAGTTTTATTTTGTACAACATACATTTTTTTAATTTATGACTAATGCTACAAATGTATCTTAAATTTCTATCAGTACCTACCATGCATACATAAACCCACCCCTAGCTATTATATAACAAGTTGCAATTAAGAGGACACACATATCGCTTTTTATAAAAAAAAATTGTATGCCAAAACTTTAATGCATATTTATCTGTCTATACTAATATACTATTAAAGAAGACAAAATTAGTTTCAACTTAAACTGGGTCTTGTCGATGAGTTTTTTCCTGACAGCTAAATCATGTTAATGGTTAACGATCTTTCTGAATGTAACTTAAAAAGATGCCAATGCAACCTAAGAATGATCAAGAGAGAGAGAGAGAGAGAGACTTAAGAGTGCATTTGGAAAAGTAATTAAAACATAAAACAATTAGGAAATTAAAAAAAGGTTTTACAGTATATGTTAGTTAGAGTGTATGGAACACAATCACACCTACATACGAATATTACGTTCTTAGTATTTTTATAATATATGCGAAACAAAAGAAAACTGAATGTTTTAACTTGCCTAGAAATTCTAGGTAGATAATTTCTAGTATTTGACTGGGTTTCTACGACTGAATCGCTTCGCAATGGTCTTGGTGTCCATCTATCATAGATATTATCATCTTCCTCCCAACCGCAAACGTCTGGTGGAGGTTTTTCCACGTTGAACTTGCGCATAGAGTCTAAAAACAATAATCAAATTTAAAAAATGCCTATTTAAGTGTTATAAAATACTCAAGTAGGGTGGTAATTGATGGTAGTCGCAACACATACAAGCAGTGGCATACACTACTAGTTAGTGAAAGATAGTCATTTAGTGTCATATTGAAATCAAACATATTTTGCCTTAATATTCATACTTAATTGATATTAATAAAACATTTTTAAGGCATTATTTTTAATAGTCATGTTGAATTTTAAGCTACTTGGTAGATAGATTTTGTCTTATATAGTTATATATTACTAAAAAAATATAATGTAGTTGATAATATTCAGAGAAAAAGTTTTATTTTTAATAGGACATAGATAATTATATCAAACTTAATATTACGACATTATTCTCATGATTAAAATGTAATGTACATGTAGTAATATAAATTTAGAAATATTATTTTATGAAACAACTTCTTCTCTGTTCTATTTTTCCTATTGTGAAACTCAACTTGATAAAAAAAGTATACTTAATTAAGTGTGCTATATGAGTAAATAAAATAATAAACAATATTATTATTTAAGTTATTATATTGAGTAATACTATTGATAATAAATACATGCAATTTAAATGAAAAATAACTATTTGTTTAGTGGTAAATTAAATAGATAGTACAAATAAGATAATGTGTTAAAACAATTTATTGAGATCAATTATCAGAACCATCCAAAAAACTTTTTTAAAATTTTACATTATTTGTGTAAAAAGTTATTTTAGACTGCTAGAAGTTCAATAGTTATCATTTAATATGTGTATACTGAATTCCTAAGAGTTATAAAAAAAATTGTATACAATTATTTTTTACTTAATGTCCGATATGAATACACAAACTAATGGTTTCTCAATATCAATGAAATTTGTTTTTTAGTAACGTGTGGACTATTGGCGATAAATACAAAAACAATAAAGAACAATTACTCACTTGCATACACCAACGAAGAAATTGAAACGAATAAAAATTCGATAATTAACAAAACCGCTACACCATTTTTAGGAGACATCAACATGTTAGCATCACAGTACGGCTGCATGTCAGCTTTGTCTTGTTGTGCGTAAATAGCTATAAATATAGCCAGCAACACAGTCCCTAAAAGTGTATATATTGTTGTTAAATATTGATTTACATCACAAGAAAAATCTCTTTCAAACAAAACACCTCGATGCGAATCTGTAGATCGTAGAAATAGAAAAAACTATAAAAGCTAAATTCTAAATAAAATTATATTTACGGTCTTAAGGACGATAAGATAATATAGAATGTATATCATAATTAACACAAATATTTTAAATATGTGTCACTGTTCATTCTCTCTCACATAGAAAAAAAAATCAATACACATCGTTGTAAAAATAATGCCTAGTCAGATCCGCACCAGAGTTAACAAATTACTTACATAATGACACTAGTTGGAATGGTATGGCTGCAAGGCGAGTAAGTCGTGCATAAGCTCGCAAATGCCCGCGACATCTTAAAGTCTTGTGATGCAGGTGTCTAGCAACATGATCTAGAATCTGAGAAGATAACAGAAATGAAGTATAAATAATACAAAAATTATTTTGACACTCACCAAAAATAAAAACCAAACGCAACAGTGGGCGTAAACTAATGCATACAGAGGTTCGCATTTATCGTTTTGATTAGGACTAGGAGTAGGAGTTGGACTTGGTGTGGTAGTCGATGTTGTTAAATTTATTGCCGGCAAATAGTTAGTGTTGTTGACGTGCTGTTTTTCTCCAGACGTAGTAAATAATCTCCATACTGTCTCGTCTGCCATTTTAATGGAATTGGTATTTTTTCGAAATGAAAATATATTCGACGTCCATAGAATAGCTAATAAAACTAAAGCAGCCTAAATAAAATGTTTAAGTAATGTTAACTGATGTAATAATGTATTTTTATTATTTATTACAAATAATATTTTGTGCATTACAATTTTTAAAAATTTTTTTTTTTCGTTATATCAAGTGAAAAGCTACTAAAAAATTTGTTTTTTTTTTACAAAATTTGGAGTTTGAAATAAGAAATATGCAACAAATATTATTGCTCCATTAGATTAATTAACTGATCATACAATGTTTTTTACTTACAGTGCAAAATATATGAATAAGAGCAATCAAATGGTGACTAGGAACTCGTGACTTCAATTTGGAATGATTGTGGTTATTTTTGTGTTTTTCACCACATTCAGGCACCAACTTAGTGTGATCATTTGTGTCAAATATGTTATTATCAACACAGTAGTTTATTTTAGTTTTATTTGAGACGCAATACCAAAAATGATTACAACAGCAGCAGCCACAACACTTGCCAGGAGGCGAATTATTTACGGTACAGTTCATTTTGCTTGGTAAAATCCTAAAACAAAAAAAAAGTTCCATTATATTATACTAAATACTACTACAAATTACAGATTGTATTTTCAAGGTAAATTAATATGGGTACCTATGTATTTCATATTAAAGTTGAACTATTATGTTAATATGCCCTGACACCATGTCTTTAAAATCAAAAACTTAAGGTCGATTTACTTAGATATCTTTGAGAACCCAATGAGGAAATTACTACTAATTCTAGTTTGCTTTTACTTTTTTTTTTTACTAACAATAGATAGTTGTGGCACAAAAAAAATTGGTCGCTTAACGAGGATTTAGTAATTTGACCAAAAATGCTCATAAAAACATTATCAAATATTCAACTTTTGGTCAAATATCATACTTAATTAAGTACTTTTGCGTAGAATACAATTTTTTTAATTTTAAAATCTTTATTCTCAAACTGATTACATTAAAATGTATGATTACATTGTTAATTTTCAATGAGGCTAAACTACAAGAGCTACATTTTTTTTTTTTTTATGTCATTTGGTTAGTTTTTGTGTGCATTATAAGAAAAAACATTATATTCACTTATATTAACGTCATACTGAAGAAAGTGTATTACGCGTTAAATAGTTCAAGACTCATTTACGAACTTTATGTTATTCGTTTTAAAAGAAAAATCATACATCAATATAAATTAATATGAGTTAGTATAAATGTTAGTAATACCTTTTTATTTATAACCTAGTTGTTTGTTTTTTTAATATTATTATTATCTAACAATATCTGAAGATTTTGTTATCTGTAATTTGTAAACTGTGCCTTAGCTATTATAAAAAAAAAAGAATCATTTAATCTATTGATAACATCATTGTAATATCGAGATAGTTGTATTAACATCAAAAATGTTTGTCTAGTCGCAGTCAGACGCTTTGATAAATTTAAAAGTCTGTAATTCTGTGTGTTGAGTTTATATATAGAAAGTAATATGTCCTAGAAGTTATAGAGAAGCATCGCAACGAAAATGCTGACTGCGAAAAACAGTTTTAATAAACAAAATAAATGTATATAAACATTTTGTATTACTTAATTACATAATAATTATAGATGTAGATATATATTTTTTTATAAATACATTAACATTTAAAATTCATTTACAAGTCTTGTATTATTTGATGTATTATACACATTTTTCAGCATGGCGTTAACCCTCAGGCGCACGGTTTTTGGTCATTTAGAAATTAAGTGTGACTTAGGTAAAACTTTACCTCGTCCACCATACCCATGGTAAATGTTGTAGTGCACATTAAAATTACAAAAAAAAAGGTAGGTATACATTTTTAACAAAAGTGAAACATTTTATTTTGCTGTTTACACAATCAGTTTGAGACTTATGATAATATTTGAAATCTAAGAATTGTATTCTCTCACTGGGGCCAACTTGTTTGTTTCATGGCGTTAGGTCGGCAGCCAGCTATAAACCCAAAAATGCCAAATCTAAACCGTCTAAGCTTCGATCGGCAGGAATAACGGACGTTAAACGTAAGAGAGAGTATTCTGAGCAAAAAAAACACTACAATATGTGGTATGGGAATGACATAATTTATCAAATATTGAATGATTGACGACATTTTTTGTTTTTTCTAATTTTTTTTTTTGGTTAAATTTGAATGGCGTTGAACGACCAGTAATTTTTTTTTTTTAAAACCTCAAATTTTTAGAGTCTTTTTTGTGTATAGAAAAAAGTTAAGAAGTAGCCTATTGTAATTTTCGTAGACAGATTTTCTTGCGCGACCCTAGTACGTACGTAGAAAATTGGATACAATTAAACTAATTAGACCAATAGACCAGTTACCCATTTGATAATAATATGGGTTAAATAATGATCAAATAGCAAGAAAACAGTGCAGAGAATTTGGATTCGTACCCAATTAATATACTCAATAGTGTTACATACCTTTCACACAATTACTCACACGTTTATCTCATTAAACTACGACGAATCTGGTCGACGTCAGATAAAACATTGACTCATGACTGACGTTTTTCAAATTCCGTTGAACTTTTCGACTGTAAACCTGTACGTGAATTTTCGTTGGTACCGCTATGATATAACTTGGCGACCTCGAAAGTCATTCACAGTTTTTCAACGATTATACAGTAATTATAGGCATGCCAAATGTCAAATGTTAATTATAAATACATTTTCTGCACAGCCAACACGTTTCGATCGCTTAAGGTTGACGTTGTTTACATAATTTTGCGACAATACGTCAAGCGTTATTATATATTATTATTATTACTGCGTTTTTATTATCATTCGGTATTGGCCATAATATTGTGTAATATGGTATCAGCTGCTGCTCATTATCTATCTAGTATCTGAGGGGTAGAGATAAAATGCTATTATCTGTTTCTGCGTCATAGTCCATAGAGTAATCCTGTTTTCTGAATATTGAACTGATTGCTTGCAATTTGCAGCGATATTTTTGACGACAAAACAATAAGACATATTATAATTTTTCAATAAAAAAAAAAAAGAACATAACTAAATATAGTACTAATACCATCTCCTTCATCTTATCTCATACAAAATATAATATTGTCTACTTACTTCTACCTATCACCCCACAGCACACTTGCACTTAAACCATAGATTAATTATTATATGTATATTTAATCTATGCCTAAACATTTGAAAAATGTACCAAGACGATGCCAATAATTACAGACTCCCGACTTGATTTTGTTTGAAAAAACAAAAAGAAATAAAGTGAAAAAAATGGTAAGGCCCCGACCTCGGCATCACTTCTGATCACCGTTTCTTTGTATCGAAAACTAAAAAAATGTATTGTTAGATTTGGTGTCTCGACATTCTTACTGTTATCTACAACTACATTGCTATTCATCACAACTTTAGTTTGGACTGTTAAGCTAATTAGACTTTAGAGGTACTGCAAACATATCTTTCTGCACAAAACTTGAAATGTACAGGGGAAATTTATTCTCCAGGGAACATCTTATACAAATTGTATTAAAAAGTGACTGCCTAAATTTACATTTTTTTTTTTTTAATTATCAGTCGAGGCATGTCCCTAAAATTAATAATTGTAATTAAATGTACTCAACAAATTGGTAAATAATAACGCTTTCTTTCAAAGAAATAAAATAATTGAACATTCAAATAAACCCTTAACCAAAAAAGCCAATACTCTATAGCGTACAACATATTGAGATTGATCAGCCTGCTGCCTGTTGTAAGTGGTAATGATGGTAAAAAATTGCTGTCGAAATATGCTATAGAGTATTATTTTTGTGGTTAAGGGGTTATTTAAATATTCAATATTATTTTCTTTACTATAAATAACCACAGATGTAGTTTAAGTTTGTTCTAGAACGTTTTATTTATTTAATAGTGATAATTATCAATAACAAAAAAATATTTTTTTAAATCAATCCATAAATATATTAATTATTAGTCACATTATATAAAAAAATTGATTAGGTACCTGATGAATTTGGATAACCTCCATAAGGTAAACAAATAACCGTGATGAATCCTAGACAAGCTGGTATAGTCCAGATGCAAATCATAACATCACGATAATATGTTTTAGAGTTTTGACTATTTCTACAAGGTAATTTGTTTTATATTATTAACTATAATATCCAATTACAAATTAACTTACAATGCTTGCACTACTATCACTACGGCGCCATTGCACGTCTTGTCTAGAAAACTCATAAGCCCAAATGTACACGCACCTCGATGAGTCTGATCACCGATAAAATCTGTTGTGAGTGCTTGGCTAGTAACCAATAATATTGAACACGCTACACCTGAGAAAATATACTTTATGAGATTGCACTAATGTTTTTTTAAATAATCTACTTCATATTTAAGTTACCAATAATTATAGTTACTATATACACGTAATAATAAGCATATGTAAAGCCATTTCCTAAATAACACCAAAATGCAGAGCACAGAGATAGTAAAACTCCAACTGTATAAGTGTACTGTAAAGTATACAGCGATTGCAATATATTAAGTATCTAGAAGTACATTTTTGGTGCTTACTTTCCTACCAAGCTTCATGTTCATTGTTTTGATCATTAGAGACATACCAAAACTACTTAAGAACATCATCAGTGGTAATAATGCTAATTTGGCTGCGTCTAATTTTAGGTATCCGTGCAAGTACATTGGTAGAAACACCTTATTTTTATAGAGATAAGTAGAAAAAAAAACATGACAATTTCTCAAAATGTAAAACCTCACCAATGTCATATTAACAAAAATTCGAGAACACATGTATACAACAGCTGTTTGGTACAAAGTGAAACATTTAAATATAGACCAAATTCTATCAGCATCTTTTTCAGTTTCAGTTCCGGTTATTGAGAGTTCTCTACTTCTGTTGGTCATGGATGGTTCATGTACACCAATATGAAATATGATAGTGGTCATAGTGCCAACAATTGTTATTATTAATAAAGCAACCTATAAGTTGTCAAAAATATTATTTTACAAATGATTGTACTTATATGTACAATAATATAATAATATATTACATATTATATGCAAACTCTTACCTGAAATCCTTTTCTATCCGTAGGACCAAATTGAGCTTCAGTTGAATGACTACTTCTGAGTACAATCCAGGTGACAACGTACACTAAGATATTTGAGAATACAGTAAAACTGTACCTAAACATATTAACGTTGTATACAAATTAAAAAACCAAGTCTTCCAACGTTTAGATTATGATTTGTACATGCCTTATCGACAATAAAGCAGTCCTCTTATCTCTATTCGTTGTTAAGTCAGAAGCTAATGCCATATGTGAATTTTCAATGGAAGCCCAGCCGATTTGGAATAATACAACGAAAAAACAATAATACAAGCACATGTCTTTCTCCGACGATTCAAATTGAGACCATATTGGTGGCAAAAATGCAAAAGGCAAACCGATAAACATTAAAATGCTACCTAAACTTAACAAAACACAATCGTCTTAAATTCTAAAAATATAGTAACTAAAGAAAATGATTTTACCAAATAGATGCCATAATTTGCGTCGTCCATATCGATCAATAAAACCAAAACTCACATTGTCTGACAGCATACCAATAATTGCAGTAGCTATAGCGTCTGTTAGTTGTCCAACAAGTATCACAGTTCCGGATTTGATGTTGGATAACCGTAGGACATAATGGTAGAATATCAAGGCATAAGTAAACCACATCGATGCAACTAAGTCATTGAGCACATGTCCAACGCCATATGATAGAAATGCAAACCATTCTTGAGATTCAGACATTACTTTCAATACCTGAAATTCAGTTTATTAAAGTTAAAATAACATAAAATATGTTTACTGAAATTTAAACAATATTTGCAATACATTGATGTATTATTTAAAAGGTAACCTTATAGGGTTTAATAATTGTAAAACTTATTTAGAAACCACATTCATGTCATTTTTGTGAAGTTTTCAGCATTCGCTAATTGTCAAAAACAAATTTTAGTTTTTTCATACTGACACTCGTGTCTATACTAAATGTCATATTAAAAATTTTATCAACAATGATTATGTAATTTTAGATGCCTATCAGTTTTTTGGGGGACAACAAATTAAATTAATGAAACAAAATAGTCATGGATTTTATTTCAGCCGGTAATTTTTTATATTAGTTTAACATATTAATTAGTATTTGTTTAATACTTTAATAATATCATATTTTTGAAATTGGTATTACTGATGTTATTCCCAAAACGGTGACCACCATGTCTTGAACATTCCAATCTAGTATGCTCACTATCCAGTTTTTAACTCACAATAAGTTAGTTATTGAAGAATATATTATATCACAATAAGTTATAACACAGAAACTGCTCTTATTGAAGTAGCATTCCAAAAGAAACTATAAATAATAGCTCCAATAAAGTCTTTATACTATACCACTTACAATTAGTCGTGTATTGGGGCGTTTACGTGGGTATACTCTCTTTTAAATTTTTAAATACATTCAAAAAAATAATGTGATACAATGTAAACAGCTAATATAAAATGTATACTCTCTGCCAAATTATTATTAATTTTTATAAAATATACTACTATAGATTTATTAGTTACCAGGATGTTGAGTATTGGTTTAAAATTTAAAAAAATTAAATGATACCTAAGCCTGATGTGACTCAAAAATTAGGTTTTACTTCCCTTAAGTGATTAAATTATGTTGTACCTATTTCTTATCTTAAAAGTAAGCACAAGTTTGTACACAAAATAAACAAACATTGTTGATTTAAATTTAAAAATTGGAAATTTCGGTTTTGTAGTAAAATTAGTACCGTAGTAAAATAGTACTGTTAGGATATTAGATTTGACTTATATGAGAGTCTACTGTATAAAGTTATAAATGAAAGAGAATATTTTATAGCATATTAGAGGAAATGTGGATTTATGAATTTGAATAGAGTGAGAAAAAGTAAACGCATTAATTTCACATTCGAACTGAGCGACAACATTTTTTTTAGTAACTGTAGTTCAAAAAGAGGGCATAACCCGCGAATTTATGTACCATTACACCACTGCTAACTTTAATAGTAAGTATTGCGCTTCATAAATTCATTAATATTAAAACTAAACAAAAGTTTAAAAAAAAAAAAACAGTTTTTACGGTAAAGATACAGTTCTTTAACATATTTCTAAAACCGTCCAAGAATTCATAATCAAGAGGTTTGGTAAATGAATGTTATTTTTTCAAATATACTAAATAGTATGGAATTTTATAACAACTTAAAGATAATATTTATTTAGTTATTACGAGGATCCAGGCCCGGAGTCACGCCGTTTAAAATTGTATGATAACAACGGACTTGTGCATAATATTATCGAAGCCAGGATTATACCTACTTATAGCTGTTTATTATTATTAATAGTTATAGACAGTCCTTGGCTGAACAGCTAATAAATTCCAATTTCCATGATACAAGTTGTAGTTTAATTTTTTTAGTCACGATAAATTATGAATTCCTAAAATAGTAAATACCAAATCATTCACATAATATAATTTATAATTTAATAATATATTTTAATTTACATTACATGTAATCTATTTGGAAAATGATTAATATTATTTACAATATTTTTTTATTCGACGGTTGGTAGTCTGTCAACACATATGTTATCAACAAGAGTGTATGACAAGGAAGAAAATGGTGGGGTGTAAGCTAAAGAGCGTCGTTTTGCCAAAAGCCGTTTTCTAGTCATTACAATTATTTACAGTTTAATTTACATTTTACGACTCACAAATCATAGGTATTTCATAATAGTAATAATAATAAATAATAACTGTTAAATTGTTCTATTATTATTTTTGTCGCAAGTTGAACGCGGTTGTTTTAGCCGTTAGCGACAAATTAATAACGTTTGATCATTTATCGGAGTGCAACTATGTCTATCTTTTTAGTTGACCCGTGAGTGTTATGTTTTGATTTGTATTATATTATCTAAAAACATAAGGTACAATTATTCTATTGCAAATTGCAGGGATGTTGTAGAAGAAAATAAGGATACGCAGACTGAAAATGATACAGATGCTGTAACTATAACCGTGGAAGATGATAATGATGCAACTTCTACTGAAACTGCATTGAATGCATTTTGGCCCAAAGAAAATGACGATATCAAAAAAATTGATAAAGTGAGAATAAATCTTGTTTTTCCCTAATATTGTATACTTAGTTATAATTAGGGTATAAATCTACTAAACCTTTTTTTTTGACAAATATAAAGTATTTTTACTCAAAAGTACTTTTTAAACCCATTACCAATCTGCAAACATTTTGAGTCACTCAAATTTAGTTTAAAAGTTATAGACAATTAATGATTGAGTGTATTAATAATACGTATACGCTAAACTATACTTTTTGTCAGTTACTACTAACGTTCTCCAGTTTTCCACCCTTTGTGTTATTTTTTTCACTAATATTATTATGCATTACTTAATGATATATGTAATAACTTTGGTTTAGAAGTATAGGCTTGAAGCCAGTAGGCGTAGGGGTCGCTTTACATAGTTATACATTTTTTAAAATTGAAACTAAATTGAAGATATCAATTTATTGCATTACCCTCTCAGTGTCCGGTAAAGTAAATTCAGTCTAAAAGAATAATGACCTCCATATAAAACCATCAATATTATATTTACGTTCACAATGTTTCATTATATGATTCCTTGGACATTTATAACCGCCTTCTTTAGGTATTGGTGTCCAAGTTTGACACTTATTTAAAATGTTTGTGTTAATATGACTTATTGTTTCAAATTCAAATAATTTGTATATTTTAAAAAGATTTAACAGTTATTTTTTAAAATAAGAGAAACAGAAAACTAAATGAAAATTAACACGTAAGAAATATACATGCGTATGACATTTTAATTAATCTGGGTCCTATTTTACATGATTTTTAAAGCAAATAAATACGTATGGTTATCTAAAATCTACACTACCTGTCCTCATTTGTCCCAATTTATTATTCAATGTTTTTATTGGAAATTATTAAACCGATATTGCTGTGGTTAATATAAACTACAGCTTATAACAATCCTTAATGGAATTAAACCTACAAAAAAGGGGGTATTATGCACTTTACCGGACACCTTTTTCTTTGCGATTTTTAAGTTCCCATGTAATAGTTTTTTATTATGCTAATTACGAATCCAAAGTCAGAATTAAGCGGAGTCCTCTAGTTCAAAAGTTACGGCTCCTTAATCTTTGAAGTTATTCCCATATAACAGTAGGCAAAGCCAAGGAGCGCAGCAGCAATGGCTAGCCCTTTGTGGCCTTTTTTTTTTTGCTGGAAACATAACACGGCTTACAGAGTCTGTGTCCACAGGAGGCCGCGGTTTTTTCGGGCAACAACAATTCTCTAAGTTCAAGTAGCTGTAAAACTACAGCTAAAGCGTTGACGCAATTTTTTTTTTTTTGCACCATCGTTCTCATCATTGTAAAACAAATCGATAGAAAAAAAAAATAGAAATTGGGGTCGAGGTAATAAAGTTGATTTGTTTCCTGAAAACACAAGTACGCAGCACTATATTTTAAAGTAGAGTCATAGTTATGATTTTTACTGCCATCATTCCTCATTCACCCACCCTTTGTGATAGTTTTCTTTTCATCTACTTGATTAGGGTAGATTATTATAATATTATGTTAGCAGTGATATGGATGTATATTAAACATCTACAACTGTAGTATTTACACGATCATTTATGTTAAATCGCTTATGGCGAGCAGCACACAATTATTGCAGATTTGTAGTCGGCATAAAAAATACTATTGAAAAAAAAAGGTTTCTGATAAAACAGATTTATTTTATAATAATAGTATATAATCTGTTGCGTTTTTATATGTGTAGCTCGATTTAAAAACACAATTGTTACCATTGGCAAGAATAAAAAAAGTAATGAAGATGGATGAAAATGTTAAGATGATAAGTGCTGAAGCACCTATGCTTTTTTCAAAAGCGACAGAAATGTTCATTAAAGAATTGACATTACGTGCGTGGATACACACAGACGAAAATAGACGACGAACTCTACAAAAAAATGATATAGCCATGGCTATTAGCAAGTACGATCAGTTTGATTTCCTCATTGACATAGTGCCTAGGGAAGAAGTGAAAGTAGTAACTGCCAATAAGACCACATTGAACCCTGAACAGGTATCAAATTTTTGATTGTGTAAAATATTATTCAGTAGGTATAGGGATTATTTTTAACAGACTGTTTCTTATAGGTTCAATATTATTTTCAATTAGCTCAACAACAGCATAATATTAATAATCAATCTACGCCAAAAGGTGAACAAACTATACAGATAGTGCAGTCTGTATCCAATCAAGTAATGAAATTAGAAATGTTAATAGTTTAGCAATTACCCCTTGTTTTCATGGTAATAGAACAGTAGCAAAACTTAGTTTGTATTCTTAAAAAGTAATAAGTATAGTATATAGTATTTTCATAACTCTTATTCCTTAAGGGGATTGCATGCGATCTGTTTTTAAGGAGTTTTGTATAGGCAATATTTAAGAATAAAAATTGGTTTTAGTAAATTTTGAATTTGGCAATTAATTTTTTACAAGCTTCAAGGTATTATTTTTAATTTAAATCTTTGTTCTATGTAACAGCTATTTTGATTTATTTTAGACCAAATATCTATACTCGCTTCTTATTTTGAACAGAGTATAGACAGAATAAGTAGACAAAATTTCAACTACATAGGATAGTCTGATTTCAATTATTTAAAGGAAAGCTGATTTTCATTTAAAATATTCAGTTTCTTGTAGTTAATATATTTGCCAAAGAAATTGTATATCTTTACAAAATTGAAGTCGGACCATCCTGAGTAGTCGTAATGTTGTCTGGCTTTTTAGCCTAAAACGTAAAAAAAACAGGCTGCATGCAATCCTCTTAATATCTCAAACTATTTTATAATAAAATTAATTTGATTTTTTAAAGATTGAAAATGTAACTTCAAGTATTACTACTACTAAAACCTCGACAATCGTCTCAGACGGTCAACCACAAGTTGTGCAATGGCAGGAAGAACCTCAGAATGTAAATTCAAATGCAGGTCCAGTATACCAGTTACTTCAGCAAGTGATCACGCCTTCAGGAGAAATTCAACACGTGCCTGTAAGTTTTGATAGTATCGTTCTTATACATATTTGTTATGTACTCACTATATCATATTACCTCATGATTGAAGTAATCTCAATAGAAGGTGGTGTATTCAATTTGTAATTAAACGGTATATTCTGACTCTTGGTAGTAACTGTAGGAATTTTGTGCTGCAAAGTGACATAAATTACTATGATATTAAATAAATTGCCCACAATGCCATTCATCAGCATATTATATCCATCTAGAGATAGTTATATTTGTATACTTTAAAATGTTTTAAGGATAAATAATAAACTAACAACAAGTTGTTTAACAAACAGTTCTTATAATTTTGTAGGGTAGTATATTATATAATTTGTTTTTAAACATTATTTTAATTAACGATCTATATGTGTAACATATTTATTAACATGCGATGTAAAAAGTGATTGTATTAATTGCATAAATTAATTAATTTAATGGACCAATCAAAAAACTATGTTGAAGAAAACAATAAGCATCTATATTCATTAAACTTTTATTGAACGTTTCTGCAACCCACCTTTAGGTATCGATAATGTTATAAGACAACAAGTAACTTTTAAAATTCAAATTATAATCTTTTAAATAAATGTCTGAAATAGTCGTGTAAAAAAAAAAAATAATAAGAATCCATTTATTATAAATTACATGAGAATTTCTTAATTTATATCATACTTTCATTCAAATGTAGGAAGGATTTGTAACTGTATACCGTTATTTACCCCTTTCAAATGCACTTATGCTTTTAAATATGGACTAGATTAATAACAACTCATGGAAGTATGAAAAAAGGTTAATTATTTGGGAGTTAATACACTAATTCAGGGTTCCGTAACGGTACAAAATATAACATTATAAACTCGATTATTTCGTTCACCAAAATAAAGTTAACAGAACATAAAATGATATTAGTATATGTTTGGTGAACGTTATAATGAATAATGTTTTACATTTTTTTGCTCCAAGAATGTTATAACGAATAACATTATAATTTGTTTAACCCCGAGAACGTTATACCAAATAATGGTATAATTTGTTCTACATTGAAATTGTTAAAACGATTTTTGCTATACGTTTATGTACCTTGATAACGTTTACAGTAATGTATATCATATCATATTTGTATATTCTGAATTTGCTTACAAATAAATTTTAACCTTTTTGTTTTAAAATATTGCTCTGAGAACGTTATAACTATTAACGTTGGAAATTTATTCAACCCAAAATGTTCACCCAAATAACATAAATAAGTTTCGTTTCTTTATTTGCTATAAGGGATATTTTTAATTGTTCATTATTAGTTTTCGTGATAAAGAAATAATTTTCGGTACCTATTTAAAACTAATTTAGGAGCTTGAGCGGTTATCGGGCCAAAGGGTAATGTTTCATAGTAAAGAAAAATCATGTTGTTTATCAATTTATATATTTTTGGGATCGTTGAATTTAAATTTTATATAATTTTTTAAAACAACCCCTATATTAAAAAGCCAGTTAAAGTTATTTCTTGAATTCCAAAAAAAACAAATTAATATTTGTAAATAATTTATTATATAAAATATACCATATTTATGTCATTACTTCACCTTAAATTTTATTTCGTCCATTAAGACTATATTATGCATAATAAATTCTCGGGGTAAACAAATTATAAAGTTTTTCGTTATAACTTTCTCGGAGCAAATAAATTTAAAACGTTATTCGGTATAACGTTCTCGGAGAAAAAGAATTATAAAGTTATTCCTAGTTTACGTTCATGAACATAGTTTTGAACTGAACAAATAAATAACAGTTAACAATCACATTTTTTAAATGGTTGTTTGCGTTTTCCAAAACCAAACCATGCATTTGTATTTTTGTAATTATATTGCTATTATCAATTTTTTATCTCTAGAGTTTTAATGTGTATGATTATGAATCCTCAACCTGGTACGTCTAAATTAATCTATAATATCATTAATTAACATTATAATTTTCATTATCTTGATTCTTTGCTTGTAACTAAAATAAGATATTATGTACCGTGTTGTGTGCTGGTTAGAATGTTGTTCTTAGCCTGTAGACTTCAGCGACTGTTTCGGATTAATTTATAAGATACGATACTACAATATCTCTATACTTTTTACTTGTTTTGCAAAGCTTGCTTAGAATAAATTTCTAGAACTCTTTGCACATAAGTATAGTTCATAAATTGATTAACTTAGAATGATAACGATATAAATTATTGACATGACTTGACATTATCAGATACGTCGACTTGTGAAATGTCCGCAAAGGTGCAATTTTATAAATGATAGTTAAAAGGCTTTTTTGTAAAAAATATCAGCAGCTTCATCAAACACAAACACAGATCTTCAGACCAGTTGATAGAACTAATTTAATGTAATTTGTTTTGATTAGTCAGCAACAGTAAATATACATAATAAATCAATAAAATATCTAGTGTTTATGAAGTCACACTTCAATGGATGTGGGACTAATAAGTAATTTACTTAAGACCGTGAGTCGCTTTTCAAACATTAAAGCCTTCTGATGTTCTATGAATTGTGGACAGCTAAGGTCTGATTTTATCAACAATTTATCGCGGTTAGCCTGTTAATAACTGCACGTTGACGCCAGCCAATTTTAGGTGGTTAACGGCTAACCGCTAATTAAAATTGTTGGTGAAACCAGACCTAAACGTCTTAATGTGGTGTTCATGGGCAAAGCTATTGATCTCATTTATAACTGTAGACAGCATCCTATGCCTGATAGCAATATACTAGAGACATTTTTTGCTAATCTTTATAGTATAATTTAAGTACACTTGCCTGCCTAATTGGAGGATATTTCGCAATTTGAAAAATGTGTATTTTTCAGGTACAGTTAAACTCTAGTCAAATGCAGTTGCTTCAAATGCAAGAACCAAACTCTCCACAACCCCAACAAGTTCAAGTGATGCAGCCACAAATTATAGAAGTAATATATTGTAGTTTTTTTTTTTTTTTTGCATTATTTAGGTTTTTTTTTTTTAGGTAGCATCTCAAGCAAATGGACAAACGTTTTATATACAGCAGCAAGCTAATCCATCAACTAGTTCAAAATAAAATCTACTTAGGTACAATTTTGTAAAATTATTTAGGTTTAGTAAACTAATAGTTATAGTTTAAAATTTAAGTACATTTCTATTTTAACTTAAATCGAGTTGAATTTTTTTTTTAATGAATAACAAGCTTTTCTAAAGTATTGTTAAAAATTATTTTTTACTTTCAATCATGATTGCATCCAATTTTAGTAACTAAGTTATCTAAGGAGTATTAATGCAGAGGCCGTATTAGCCATCTAATTATTAGCAAGCTAATCAAATGATTGAAAATACTTAATGTGTGATAGAACTTAAATGTTTAATTATTAAAAAATTGTTAGGTTTGCAAATCCATTTTATTGGTTGTCTAATGATTGATTAAGCATTAGAAACTAATTTGACCTAAGCAATAATTTTATCAATTCAATAAATATTAAAGTCATAAACTTTCTCAAATTCAATTACTTGCAATTGTTTATACACAAGTTTCGTAATCATAGATGTATTATATTTCCATTAACTCTTAGTTTTGAATTTTAATTTGTATACTAAGTTATTTCAATTGTATCGAAATTATCTAATAAGAATAATCACTTGTGAATAAAGTTCTATACTTTTGTTTAGAGTTCAGGTTACACCTATCTTGTAATATTCATACCTAATTCGTTGAAACTATTGTAATATTATCTTTTCTAAACTGTCGTTATGGGCTAGTCGGTACTCTCCTGTCATTCCAACAAATTTGTATATGTATTTATTTCAATTATTGTACTGACAAAAAAAATATCTTGCAGTATAAAACCTGGTTACTCACTTCAGTATCTTACCTTATTATTCTTATAAGAATAATTTATTTTCCATCTAATATGGAAACGATTTATGTAACATAATATTTACTAATGAGTTAATATTTGATATTTTTCTTCATTATTTAATTTCAATTATAAACGTGATTTGGTGTACTTAATATTTTACCTAAATAAGCATTAAACAACATAAAAATCATAAATAATTAGACGAATATGAACTTTATTTAATATTTAGAATTATAACAGTGTTTGTAAACAAATGGTAATTACAAAAATGTAGTGTATAATTATAATAGTAGTAAGTTATAAGTCTAGAATAATCGATAATTAATTTATAAATGGAAGATATTGCAAAACAATGTAAATACAAGCGTACCTCTCTATACATAAAACATGGATTTGAATATAATAAAAATAATTAATGGTATTCATTTGTAAATATATTTTGGACTTTTTTTTCGGTTAACCCCATAGTTGAAAATGTTCAATACAATCATTTTTTTATGTATTATTAATGTTCATAGATTATACAAAACACACAGTCAAACGTCAATTGTTATTACGCTCCATTAAAAATTAGAAAAACAGTCGCTTGTAGTAAATAGTCTTTCAAATATTGAATTATGCTTATATTGTTTTAACAAATGTATTTTTAAAATTAAAAAACGCAAATAAAAATATGTATAAAAAAAGTTTAAAAATATAACAACAAATACCATAACATACATCACATTAAATTTAATATTTAAAAACATATAATATTTACAGTCAGTATAATATGAATGGTATTATTTGATTGCATGAACACAATAGATATACTTTGTTATAGTATAAGCTATTCTGACTATTTATATTTTAAACGCTTAACTCTTATCCCTATTACTGTTCACAGCAAATTTATTGGCACATTTAAATTATACTCATGCTTGGTTCCATCAACACAAGTTCTATGTATAAATTATTTTTGACGCCTAGTATTATTATTTTTTTATACAATATTTTACTTAGATGGTTGTACTGAGTAATGGCATGATCTAAATTAACTTTATTGATCATAGTTATTAACAAAAGAAAGTTATAAAGAATAATATTAAATTATTATTGTCAATAATAGTTATAATTATTTTACTTGTTTATTACTATTTGTCAAACCAACTCAACTCGATCATTATAAGTAAAAAATTTAGAATTATAATCACTTAATTTAAACATTAATTATTCAGGCAAGATTGCTGGTAATCTGTACCGTCTATCGCCTCTATATTATTTTCGTTGTTAAAAATTCCCTGATTTTGAACATCCAATAGTATTGAATATGGATGTTCTTTCAAGTCCTCATTAATCTTGTCACATAAATCAGTGATATTATTTTGTTGCTCGATTATTTCATTCAGCTTATTTACTATACATTCCTCAATTTTTCGTTGATATTTATTTACTATGGGTTTAATTATAGTCTCGTTTAGAATTAACTTTATATAGTTAGCTATCAAATCAATGTTTGTAATATAGTTGTTTATTGACTTTAGTACAGAATTTTGATTGTATTCTTCACTGGACGAAACGGTACTGCCGTCTACATCAGGAATTTCATCGACAAACACTTGTTCCTCCGACATTTCTGTAAATGATATATAATAGTTACCATTAATATATTATTAACCGATTGGCTTTTAAATAGGCAACACGTTTTTACCTTAGATATTTTTGTTGTTGAATAGTAGGTAAGAATCTCAGTGTGGTATTACGCCAGTACTAATTATAAGCTCTAAATAAAGTATTAAAACAATTAATAATTTCAAGTACAAATGATTCATAGGCGATTTTCTTAAGACGTCATACCCTCTATTTATTAAGGCGTTCGGTATAGGCAATTTTTGGAAAAATCTTAATTCGAAGGTTAAATTGTGATGTGTATATAATTGTGAGTTTAGTACCTAATTAGGAACATTATTTGGTAAGTAGTTTATTTATTTTTCGGACTATCACAGCATCATCCTTAAGAGCAATTCAAAATGTATTTTTCATCTAAACATATAGCTACGCATATTCTCTATTATTGGCTAAATAATAATCTTAAGCACTTTTTTTTATAAGTTTTCTAAAAATACCGACTAGAGAACCTTTAACCTAGTAAAGTTTTCCTCTTTTTAACGATATCAACATTTATTTTCTATAACTATTTCCTTTAACTTACTAATTTTAACAGGATATGACGTCTTTACAATCTTGGAGGAAAAAATTATTAGTTCACATCGAGAAAAAAAGTATAAAAGGTTATCATAACATTCGCTTGGAGAGGACATTTTAAGCTGTGTAGACAAACGATTTACGGAAATAGGGAGTTCCTTATATAAAGGTAGAGTGTGTCTTCTAGTATTGTAGTTTACTAATAACTAATAAGTAATATACGTTTTAAAATTGTGTAGCAAATAAATTTACCGTTTGTTAATGAATATTTTCCGCTATATCCTAAGTTGATTGACAAACAAGCTCATTACATTTCTTCTGTATTATAAGTCGTTACTACTATGTAAAACAGGCAATCCTTTTGATTTTGAAATTTGAAATTATAAAATATTGAGTAGTGAGTAATAGTGGAATAGTTATGTTCTACAATCTACTTAGAAGTAAGATAGAGAGAGATTTTAGGCTATTAGTCAACCTAAAATATAGAGCTCAATTATTTCGCAATGGCTACTGGCTAGACTAAGAAACAGATTTTTCCTGATAGCATCATCTGTTATCTGATAGCATAATGTTACCAACTGCTGCATAAGAAATATTTGTGTATGAAATGTTAATCAAAATATATATTTGTTTTGGTAATACTGTATGAGTTGGAGCTTTTTTACAGCCAGTTCGTGGCAAACTGTACAAAATAATGTTTTTAAAAAATAAATTTACATTATTAAATTGATTAAGAAATAATAAATTCAATAGAAATAATCAATAATGATAAAAAAAAGGTACGTAGATAATTATTAAGAAAATAGGAAGATATTGTACACGTTTACCAGCGTCCTTATCTATATTAATTCTAAAAAATGTTAAATGAAAATTGTAAATTACCAATTTTCAAAGTTTTGAAATCTAAGTGTTATAATAAATGTTTTTATGTGGCCTGACGAATGTGTAATTTCCAGGCTTAAATGTAGTTACCTTTCTGTAGTATAGACCCTCTACACCGATGTTTGATCCAACAATCATGTTTTGTTTAAAACAAACATTTTTTTTTGTTGACGTACCTAGCTGGTATAGAAAAAAAATAATGGACAACAGGTATCTAAAACGTATACATCTATACGTTATGGATACATGTAAAAAGGTGTATTCAACACAGATTTTGATCTCAAGACTCGAGTCAAAAATGATCCCAAGTAGAGTGGAATGAATAAAAAAATACCCCTTTGTAAAATTAGGATAAATAATAATTTGTTATAAATTAATTATTATTTTATTTGTATTAATTGACGCAGTTTTTAACTAGTTCAGCAATATACATGTGTTTACTGTTTATAGTTCCGTCAACAATTAAGTACTGCGGTTGTCACATACTATGAATATAATATAATATTGTATGTAGGTAATAATTTATTAAGACACTGTTAATCTCAGACAGGTTAAAAAAAAACATGAAATTTACTTTTTTTTCAATCTTTTTGTTGGTTTTTTTACTTTGGGAAGTCTTTTCCTTTTCCGTTTCTTTATCTTGTTTGCTTGTCTTTTAATTGCTGCAGAAGTGGCATCGTTAACGTCGAGGAGTAAATGTTCAGCGGCATTCGCTGGTGATGTATAATGTGGTATGTGATCAACATTGGAGCAGAAATGTCGGATGGCGTTCACGTCGTTACTCGAAGAGGAAATGACATTTTCATTCTGCAAATGTTACTGATTGAAGTTTAAATGCACCGGTATAGTAACTGTATATGCGTTAATAAAATACGTATAGACTTCGTCAGTTATAGATTTATAATACCTAATAGTATAGAGACATCATATCGTCGCTTACATAATTAAAACAACCCTTTATAAAAATACAAATCACATATATATATATAATGCCATAGGTATATAAAATTGAAACTATCGATACATTGAAGGGCGCAACTCATCATATTCTATTCTTAGCATAGATATAGCATATTTTAAGTAAAAAAATATAAATAAAGATAATAAATTGGTTGACGTTCGTGTTGGGTATGTTGGGTGAAATATTAACATGGTTCACGATTACATCTGAATTTACAAAAATATAGCTGACGTAATATACCGTGTAAATATTTTCAAATTAAATTGTCGAAACTTAATCCCGACTTCTAGTTCAGACACAAGAAATTAGATCTTCCAACGTATTAATCATTTTTATTTTTACATTTTGAGACGCTTTGGCCCTCGATTGATGTGGGCAGATCGTTTCGGTAAGTAGCAAGTGACTTACTTGGTTTGTCATTAGATTTCGATTAATTGCGGTGTTACCGCCAAGTTCTAATGGGATCGTTAGCCGTTTTCTGGGATAACAGTCCTGACAGACTTCCAGCGCATCATTGTCATCGTCATCGTCCCAATCGCTTTCGTCTTGCCCAGGACCGCTTAAGGAGTTAAATTGCACGGTCCTGCATTTACATCGTCCTCTGGATTTCATCGCTAACCGTGCACAAAATCGTTTGGCCTCTTCAATTTCCCAAATCATTTTGTTCGTCACACAAGCAAGTTTCGACAATATCTGCTCCGGCGGCGCCGGTGTTTGCCAGATGTCGCAGTTCTTGATGAATCTCATACGCCTAAATATAAGGAACAATGGGAATGTCATGTATCAGTTTAAAACATTTTTTTCATAGACTTCAAAATAAATAATGAAATTATATCGTATTCGTCACTCGTCCTATTTTTTTAGTTACGTTCAGGCATAACTTATTAGCAAGAAAAAATAAATCAAATTGCGTAGTAAATATTATAATAATTTTTATTTTGGTATATTTAATTAAAAATATATTTTGGTAATTTCATCGAAAGTGCTACACCTGTGTTCATCGTGAACCATGTGTCATTATCATTGTTATTGGCGTGTCTCGAAAAAATTGTCCATTTAGGTTGTATCCAGATCAACACAATGTGTCGATCAAAATTATTAATATGCTTCTTGAACAAAGGTAAAAATCAATTAACAGTCATTTCCTCACACTCGAGGCTTGCCCGAGCAGTCTTTAGCTGATTCTTACAAAGACGCTCCTGAGAAAGTGATAGGTCACATTGTTTGCTAAGTATGATATTTGGAGAAATGCCATACATTTAAAAGTTAACTATAGAGATCAATAAGAGAAAGCATTTTAAAATAAATCAATTATTTTTAGTACCCTAAAACATAGTGGTTTGGTAGACCAATTTCTTAGTTTATTTAATTAGCAAAAATTTGAATTTAAATTGGCTGGACTTAGGGTGTTTCTCAAAGGAATTGCATTGTTTGCAGCAATATCATAAGACGGGACTTAGTGAACTGATAATATAAATCCTTATTTAGAAAGGAAAAAACTCCGGACAAGAGGCGTTTCTCCATAAAATGTGTGCCTACACTTGCAGAATCAAAAAGAAAAACTATTTTGGCTAAAATAGCGACTTATGGGGTTACTTAAAAGACCGATTGAGTTGTGCTATAGTCTTCAATTACCTACCTTATGTGTTTACAGCTTATGTCTGAGTTACATTTGTTGGTATTTGATTTTCCCCAAGGCCATAGTCCAGCCGACGTGGAAGGGACGAACTCTGATGGCCTGGGGTCGTGGTTACCATCTTGACTACAGTTTTGAGTTGTCTTTGGTCTTTTATTATTTGGTACATCGCCCAATAAAAAATTGCGGTCATTACGTTCCCAATTGCAATACTTGCAATAGTCGTCCATGAGATCTTCATCGGACGAACACATTACCATTTACCACAACACGAACGAACTGAATTCATTTTACTAATTTAAAATTAAATAACCATGTTGTTGTTGTTGTTGTTGTTATATAACTGTGAAATGAATACCATAGACACGATATTTTTTAAACAGATATATCATAATATAGTGTTTATCTCACATAGGTATGCTTTATTCGGAGGTTTTATAACCATGTTTAATAATGATGTGTTGTTTAAAAACATCAAACGAATAATCTATTTATTTTATATACTATAAAAGTAACGTGATCAACTTTAGTACACGGATTCTATAATGCTACAAATATTCTGGATAATTTATCTGATGCACTGATCCATGCACTATATTTTGCATATTTTTGACTTTTACATATTTTACATAAAAATGTAAAATATATTATTACATACAATTAATGCTGATTACCTTGAATCCTCTTATAAAATATAGAGCGTATCATAAATTTATCACTATGATCTGACAGTATTACATTATTATTATTATAAAATCGTTTTGATCATCGTTATAGTGTTACGAAATTTAAATATAGATTAATTAAGTATAGCGATAGTCCGCCGGCTTATAAAATACGGCAACCGTTATTATAATATAATAACAAAATGGAGGAATACATGATTTATATAGATTTGCGTATAAAATTGGGTTGCCAAAAAAAAAATATATAGCTTGGTCAATCTATGTGTGCTAAATACTTAAATTCATACAGTAGCGATGCTTGGGTAAGCTGTAAGAGAAATTTATTTTTAATTTGTGTACAAATATTTGTTTTTTAAATTAAATAAATCCACATTATATTTTCTGTTTTATGTTGGTAAACATAGAGATGTTATCTCATTGCCTAATATGACGCTTCGACATTGAAATTATTTATACCTATTCAAGCCTTTTCTGAACGCCAGTCAAAACTCAAAACCTAGTTAAGTAGATATACTATTCATCCCATTACACAACATAAGAAAATGCAGGAATTATCATAACTGAAAGTGATAAAATCACTTTTAAATAAACGCTTTGATGCGAATCAGTGAATAGTAATTGACCGAGAGTGATAAACTACGGTTAATGAGTAATTTTACCATACTTTTTGGTTTTTCCTTAATAATAAAAAAAGTTTGACTACAGATTTTTGAGAAAAATTGTATATATTATAACCCCATTCAAGATCTACCTTTGGTCTCATTTTCAGACATAAACCTCTAAAACTATTCATGAAAAAGCGAAAGACAGAAATAAATTCCACCCTTTCTAGGAAAAAGGGAGTACGATAATTATTTAGGTTGTCAACGTTTGTCGGTAGTACTATGTCTTAAGAATATTCCATACAAATTCGGAACTAATTGGACTATTTTGAAAAAAGATATGGGGCGCCGTAATTTTAAGTTGAAAAGTGTTTTTCTCGAATTTGAAGGAAAAGAGATCAACTTTTAAATTTTTAGTCCAATAAAGTACCTTATAAGTACGAATTCTAATCTTAAGAGCTGATATACAAAGAAATCGGTTCAGTAGTTAAAAATAAAAAAACACATTATTGTAAATAGGTATAAACAAAGTTACAATGTATTTTTTAATTGTAAATTTTTACGTATTAATAATTGTATATTATAATTTGATAATTATTACTAAGTTTAGTATTCCAAACTCTAAATATGTTATTCAAACATAAATAATAAATATTATTTTAGTATAAGTAACTTTTTTGTATAAGGAGTTAAATCCACTGTGGTGTAAGTCAAATTTTCATAAAAGTTA